GCTTAACCCTTATCTTAATCCTTATGGGACAGTCGGGTGAGGGTGGCTGGGTTTGGAATCCCGTCCTGCGGTAGGGCTTTGGATTTCAGGAGGAAATTAGGGACCATTGGAGCCACCGTTCTCATTCAGGTGAGAAGCTATGGGCCCAGAAAGGAGAATTTCCTTACCCAAGGACACCTGTTTGCTTAATTACCGGGAAAGATTTATAGAGCAGTTGTCTCCTTGTGGGAGGGCATCCTAAGTTTTGAGTAGCTATAATTCTAGTCATTTCAGAAACGATGGAACACTTCCAAAATAAAATTACTTTTAAGTTCTTGCTCTTGACAGCCTTGTTACACAAGATGTGGTCTATGGACAGAGGACCAGCATCACCTGGGAGCTTGATAGAAATGCAGACTCTTTTTTTTTTTTTTTTTAAAGATTTTATTTATTTTTATTTGAGAGAGAGAGAATGAGAGAGAGGGAGTACATGAGAGGGGGTAGGGTCAGAGGGAGAAGCAGACTCCGCCGAGCAGGGAGCCCGATGCGGGACTCGATCCAGGGACTCCAGGATCATGACCTGAGCCGAAGGCAGTCGCTTAACCAACTGAGCCACCCAGGCGCCCTTGATAGAAATGCAGACTCTTAAGCCTTACCCCAGATCTGCATTTTAACAAGATCCCAGTTGACCTTATGCACATTAACCCTGGATGTTTAAAAGATGAGTTTGTTAGCCACGCGTTTAGGAAGAGGGAGGAAAAGTGAGAACAAATTCAAAAATGGGATGATGGCGCCCCCTAAAAGGGGAGTATTTAAAAAAAAATAAAGTGAAAGGGGAGCATCTGAGTTTCCCTAAGAGTGGGTCAGTCATTGCAATCCTTGTTTCTCCCAGGGCCTTATGGTCTTGGAATGAAGAATTCAGCAGATAGAAAATTGAATTGTATAACGTGATAGGATACAATTAAAGGTCGGTGCTCCTGTGTTCAAGAAAAAATAAGGCTTGGGGCGCCTGGGTGTCTCAGTCAGTTAAGCGGCTGCCTTCGGCTCAGGTCATGATCCCAGGGTCCTGGGATCGAGCCCCGCATCGGGCTCCCTGCTCAGCAGAGAGCCTGCTTCTCCCTTTCCCTCTGCCTGCCGCTCTGCCTACTTGTGCTATCTCTCTATCAAATAAATAAAAAAAAAGAAAAGAAAAAGAAAAAATAAGGCTTTTCTTAGTCGATGACACAGGGAGCAGAGGAATGAGTCTTGTCAAGCTTCTGACCTGGGCAATAGCATGAGGGCTCCAGAGCCCTGGAGTTCCTGGAGGTGGGATTGGGGATATCAGTAGGGACCAGGGCTAACCTCCTTAATGTGTGTCTGTGTTTGCCAGTGACATTGCCTGCCACCATCATGACGTCATCTGTGCCCACAACTGTGGGCGGCCACATGATGTACCCTAGTCCCCATGCAGTGATGTATGCACCCACCTCGGGCTTGGCTGATGGCAGCCTCACCGTGCTCAATGCCTTCCCCCAGGCGCCATCCACCATGCAGGTGTCCCACAGCCAGGTCCAGGAGCAAGGTGAGTTGTGGGGTGCGGCTGAGGAAGGAGGACCATTTCCTCCGTTATACACCCAATGTTCAAATGGGCCCCCACATACACACCTAGATGTCCACACTCACACACCACATACACAAACTAGGCTGCCCACACATAGCCCTACACACGCACACACGGATGCTTGCACACATATTCCAACACCCATGGCTGTCCACTAGGGTACTCATGCACACTTGAAAACTCACGTCCGCGTGCACACATGGACACATTTGGACGCTCGCCCTTGGGCACTTGCATCTGAGACTTACCGGGTCACTTGTGCATTTATCACCACTTCTGCAGTATCTGGAAGTTTCTCTTGAGCAAGCAATTTGAGTATCTCCTGTGGTTTCCCCATGCAGGTGGCGTTCCTCAGGTGTTCCTGACAGCGCCGTCTGGGACAGTGCAGATCCCTGTTTCTGCAGTTCAGCTTCACCAGGTAGGTGTGTGTGGGGGGGGGGCACCCTTCACCTCACCCCAGCCAGCCCGCCAGCCAGCCATTTCTTCATCTTGACCCTGGGGATTCCATTTACCCATTGGTCAAAGCCAAGATCCCTAGGCGGGAGGCCTGTCTGTTTTCCCGGTCAGGCCCGCGGTGGACAGGCAGGCAAGCGGGGCGGGGGCTTGAACTGCCTGGCCAGCCCCTGTCCCCTCTTCCTCACACACCCCCTTCCCTCCAGATGGCCGTGATCGGGCAGCAGGCTGGGAGCAGCAGCAACCTCACCGAGTTACAGGTGGTGAACCTGGACGCCGCTCACAGCACCAAGAGTGACTGATCCGCCCTGCCACCCTGGACAGATGGCCCGAGGGATGGCACCACTTATTTATTGTTGCCTTTTCACGTTTTCTTTACACACACGTTGACGGGCCGCAGGAGGGAGGCAGGGAGGAGGAGCGGGCAGCCGCAGGACCGAGCCCTCTCACTCCAGCCAAAGAAATGGGCCAGCCTGCCCTCCACCCTCCCCTCCCTCCCCCTCCCTCCCCCTCCCCTCCTTCTAGCTCCACCTCCCGTTTTCTGTTGATGGTGGGGCCATCCTCCCTCCTCAGACTCCCCTCGCCAGCTTGGCGCCATGTTTGCCATGAGTATTAGCTTATCCAATGGGACCGTGCCCCACCTTCCCACACACAGGCCCCTGTGGGACTAGGCACCGTGTTCCCCCTGAGGAAGCAGTTGGGGTCCTCTCCCAGCCTCCTTGCTGACCCCAAGTCAGCACTGTGTCTGTCACAGGCTGGGTAAAAAGAGCCCTACCCCTGCCCCTAAGGGAGCCACCTGGGGAGATGGGGCTTCTTCCCTCACGCCGCCGCCCTGTTGTCCCTGCAGCTCCTGAGAGCTGGGCCTGTGCACAGAGCAGGTTCCCAGGGCCCGCTGCCCTGCCTTGCCGATCCCCTCGGGACTCCAGGGACTCCTGGGTTGGAGGGAACCATCAGGGTTCCCTCTCACCCTGTCTACCCCTCCCCCCAGCTGCTTTACTTAAAGTTGATTTTGAACTTTTTATTTGAGGAGACGAAGTGAAATCTATAAATATATATTTTTAAAATATTTAAACTTTTTTTTATGGCGTTTTTCTCGTCCCCCTCCCTGCCCAAACTCCCCTTCCCTGGGGAGCCCTGGGGCTCCCCGGAACTGGCTGGGCCTCTGGGGACAGAGCCACCCCATGAGCTCGGGGCCCGTCAGTGTGTAGGGGAGATTCTGGGATTGCCGGTCCTGGGTTGTTTCCAGGAGAAAACCGGGGGAGGGGCCCTCAGGCCATGCCCCAACGGGGTGGGGAGGGTGACCCATAGCCCTGGGTCTCTTTTTGCCCTTTAGGGCTGTTGCAAGGGAGAGGGAAGAGGGAGACCAAATGTGGGGGTGGGGGTGGGAGGGTGTCAGGTAGAGGCAACTGACTTCATTTGTGCCACACGCATGGGCATTGCAGCCTTGTGCTCCCCCAGGCCTGCAGCTGCCTGGGGCCCAAGTTGCAGTGAGCAGGGTGGGGTCTGGGAGGGGGTGAGAGGCAGGAATGGGGGTCAGAAGAAATGGGAGCAGCTCTTGGGCTGAGTATAGAGATAGGGGAGCCAGAAATGGGCAGCTCTCCCAGGGAGTGAGCAGCTACTGTAACTTTTTTAAATTAAGACAAAAAGCCTTGAAGAAAATGACTTTATTTTTCTAAGTGTAACCTCAGTATTTATGTAATTTGTACAGGGGCAGTGCCCTACCCCACTCTGCCCCCTTTGGGGTAGACCTTGAGGATGGGCCAGCATAGGGGGAGGGTCTTTTACCCTGTGTCAGAGCCTACCTTCACCCCCTTTATCCAGAAAGGGAGCTTTTTCAGAACAGGGCAGCAGTTGGGGTGGAGTTTTATTAACCCCCGTGACTGCCTTCAGGAGGAACAGTCCTGCTTCTGTAATTAGGTGAAGGGGTGGGGGAAGTTTTTGTGCACAGCCTAGTTATCAAGGGGATGATTTGCCGGCGTGTTTGAGAACCCCCGTAACCTCTAACCCCCATTGCTGTCTTGCCCCGGTTTGGGGTGCCAAGATGGAAGTCACCATTCTGGGCTTTCTCCTGGAGATAGCTGGGGCTTATGGGTGGCTTACAAGGCTGGTGCATGGCAAATCAGGGGCCAGAGAGTGGGGGAGCTTGGGACTCAGGTCTGTAACTGCCCAGCCCCCTTTCTCTGCTCTTGTTTCACTCCACGATCACTCACTCACTCCCCACTCCCCCGCCCAGGGGAGGAGACTGATGAATTCCTCCTCTCCTTCCCACAAGAGACAGACCCAGTGAGTGAATCAGGCAAAGTGCTTATAATGTGTGTTGTGTGAGCGTGGCCTTGGGAGAACATGTGTGCGTCAGGGATGAGGTGGCATTTATATGTGCAGCAACCCTTGGTGTTTCCCTTCCTTGGTGGCTCTGGGGTGTGTGTGCGTGCATGTGTGTGTGCGCGCGTGTGTGTGCCTGAGTGTGTGTGTGTGAATGTGGAGTATGTCAGTGGTTTCTACTTCCCCTGGGATGCTGACCCAGGAATAGTGGACATGGTCACAGTCCTATGTACAGAGCTTTCTTTTGTATTAAAAAAAATACTCTTTCAATAAATGTATCATTTTTGTGCACAGACTGTGGGGTCTTTGCCTCCGTTTTTCTGCATAGGGAGGGAGGGAAGTATCAAACCCCAAACTGCTCTGAGAAGCAAGCCTGGCTGCCTGATAACAACGGCAAAACTAAGGGGTGCCTTGGGCTGTGGAACTCTGCGACTTAACTGAAGGAACATTTCGGGGAGTTGGAGCCTTTGTCTCTGTGCGTGGCTTTGTTAGGTTTTTAGGCCAACACAGAGATGAGCAATTTTAATTAATAGGCAAAGTGACTCAACCAATCCAAAGCACTGCCGAGGGGAAGTGCTTGGGAAACTTATGGCCACGTGATCCAGTGAAAACTCAGCACAGACAGCTCCAGGCTTGGGAGTGCAGGCTTCAGGGGCATGGGGAAGGCCGACCTAGGAAACGCGAGAGGTGGCTCCGAGGGGAAGGAGGGAAAGTGCGGCGTACTTCGGCGAGGAGCACCGCGACCGTGAGCGCGGGCTCCGCCTGCAGCGCGCCTCGCGCGCAACGGCGCGGCCACTACGCATGCTCCACTCGCGCGCCCTTCCGCCACGCTCGGCTCTGGGCCGCCGGGGCCCCCGTAGAAGCCGGGCCGCGCCCGCCCTGGCCGTGTGACCCGGAAGGGAGCTGCTGAGGAGGCGGGGCCAGGACGGCGGGACCGGCCGCTGGCTCCCAGCGAGGGCCAAGCCGGGCGGTGGGAGGTGAGAGGAGAGTCCTGCGGCGACCCGGTCCCTGCCGCGTCCCCTTCCCGCTCCCTGACCCGCTCTCCGTGGGGCTGATGACGGGAGCCAGGTCTTTTCTCCGAGATGCGCCCGGTCCTGTCAGCCTCCTCGGACCGCACCCCCCCCACCCCGCCCCGAAAGCCGTTCCGCTGCCCTGTGGCCTCCCCCGGCACCCCTGATGGTCTGCAGGCTTGGGTCTGACCTTGCTACTTGCTTCTACCTGCTGTCTCATCCCCAGCTCCAGACCTCACCTCTACACCTCAGTTTACCGCTCCTATTCCAGGCCCATGATAGTTCCCCCTCTCCCCCCCGACCCCCATTTAGGCTTATCAGTTGTTTTATTTCACCCTGGTCATTGGTTGTCCACTGCCACATCACCGATTACCTCCCGGTCTTGCCCCGCTCCCCATGCTACCCGGACCCCTGCCCCCATCGAGGTCCACATCCCATGTTTCCCCTCCCCTTCACACCTTTCTTCTGTCATCTTTTATCCCCCCCATTCCTACTCTCACCGCTCCCCAGTTACCCCCATATTGCTACATACCACACATACCTTTTCCTGATCGCCAGCATAGCCGTCTTCCTATTCCCATTTACCATTTTCCGGCTTAATAACTCAGTTTATCTGAGGACTGCCCCTCCCTTCTCCAGCTAAGAATAATATTAGATTGTGTTTAGGGAGCTCTCACCGTGTGCTAGCGGCTGTTTTAGGTGGTCTACATACATGATCTTACTCAGGTTTTTACAACTTTACAATACTATCCCCATGTTGCAGAGGAGGGAACTGAGGCTCAGTGGTGAAGTAAGTTGTCCAAAAGTACTCTCAGAGTAAGTCAAAGAGCCAGAATTCAGAGTCACACCTGAGTCTCACCTGTGCTATATATTGCCTTTCTAACAGCTTCACCATCTCCTGACCTCATTTCCTACCCTTCAGCTGCATGATTAACACCTCCCTATATATCTGCCTGACTTAGACCCTCACCAGACATACAACTTATGTGCCAGGTGGAACCTGGTCTTTTTTCCTATAATTTTATCTGGCCCCCTCAGCCCCTCTCCTGCTCACAATACCCTGGTACACTTTCCCCATCCAGCCATCCGGATGTGGGGGCCCACCGCCCAACCTTCTTTCCTCCATTCTATCTGCCGTGGCCCACATTCCAGCTTTACGCTATCATTTTTACTCCCTGTCCTGCCTCTCCTCCACCCTGACTTTCCTCATTTGTTCTGGCTCCACTGTCCCCCATGCTGCTGTCCTGCCTGCTCACCCCTCTTACCTTCTAAGTCTTGATCTGTATCCCTCGGCCATCCTGCTCTTCTGTCCTACCTAGCTGTCACTCTTTTTGTGACCTTCTTGTTCTTATCCTCTTTCATAACCTCTTCCATTTCTTTTTTTTTTTTTTTTAAGATTTTATTTATTTATTTGAGAGAAAGAGAGAGAGAGAAACAGCATGAGAGGGGAGAGGGTCTGAGGGAGAAGCAGGCTCCCCGCTGAGCCGGGAGCCCAATGTGGGACTCGATCCCAGGACTCCGGGATCATGACCTGAGCCGAAGGCAGTCGCTTAACCAACTGAGCCACCCAGGCGCCCAACCTCTTCCATTTCTTAACCCCCTTCACTTCATGCTCTTGCCATTTCCACTGCATTCTCCTTCCTTCTAAATCCCCAAATATATTCAAGTTATGTATTCTGTCTCGTTGGCTTTTTCTCTTTGGTCTGTAAATTCCATCATGCAGCCTACCAGTCACCCTGCACCTGATCTGTGTCTCAAGGTTCCATCCCCTCCATGTAGTCTTTTCCCTTGCCCTCATTGCCTTTATCTTTCTCCTTGTGTGTCCCAGGAGGTCAGGATGGTGGGGGAACGGCGCACCAGGGACCTCATGGTGCCCTTGGGGCCCCGGCTGCAAGCATATCCTGAAGAGCTTATTCGACAGCGGCCTGGGCATGATGGGCATCCTGAATACCTGATCCGATGGAGTGTTCTGAAGTGTGGGGAAGGGGGCAGAGTGGGTGTGGAAGAGGGCAAGACAGAGCACATCCTCATGTGGCTGTCAGCCCCCGAAGTCTACGCCAACTGCCCCATGCTGTTAGGTGAGCGGGCACTATCTAAGGGACCTCAGCATGAACCAGCTGGGGGTTCAGGAAGCTTTCCCCGAGATCCAGGAGGTCTGGATGACACAGCAGTGGGAGAGATGGAGGCTGATGTGCGGGCGCTGGTGCGCAGGGCTGCCAGGCAGCTGGCAGAAGGTGGGACCTCGAGCCTCACAGCTGCTGTGCTCCACACCATCCATGTGCTCAGTGCCTATGCCAGCATCGGGCCCCTCACTGGGGTCTTCAGGGAGACGGGAGCCCTGGACCTGCTCATGCACATGTTATGCAACCCTGAGCCTCAGATCCGTCGGAGTGCGGGCAAGATGCTACAGGCTCTGGCAGCCCACGATGCTGGTAAGAGACAGCCAGGGGAAGAAGGAAAGCACTGGAGAGAATGGGGCCACAAGGAGTAAGAACAGAAAGAGGAGGGATTTCCCAACTCTGGAAGAACACCTAGCGTTTGGTGAATACCAATTTATTGCCCCCCCCCCAAAAAAATGTACAGATTAATAAACTATGACAGGTATATAAACAGAATAAAATAATAGTACCCAGTTCATCTGTCCATTTTCAGTGCAGTGGCAGAGAAGAGAATAGGATAGGTTTATATTTTTAAACGGTAGGTTGAGATTTATTCGTTGATTGTGAAATCAGTTTGGTGGGTTACAACCAACATTTTTTTAATGTAAAATAACTAGCAGGTAGCATAAGGTAAGTTTTGTAGCATTAAATATATGTTTCAGTTATACGTGGGTATGTTTGTATCAGGTTACCATGTAAAATGTATACCTTATTGTGAACCTCAGTCACAAAGAAGTTTGAAAACCTCTAGGGTAGGGGATAGATAGTCTAGGAGAGGCAGGGGAAAGTCTTGGGCATTGAGGAGAAGATACAGATTGGGTGTGGATTACAGGGAGTCGGGCTCACGTCCTTCTGTCACTGAGCCAGCAAGATGGCATCGAGCAGCACATGGATTTTGACAGCCGCTATACTTTGCTGGAGCTGTTTGCAGAGACCACCTCCTCTGAGGAACACTGCATGGCCTTTGAGGGCATTCATCTGCCTCAGGTACTCTGGCAGCTATGGGGGAAATGCCGTGTACAAGGCCGAGGGCATCACTTCTGAAAGCGTGGTTCAGGATTATGCATCAGCACCAGAGCCACTTGGGGAGCTTGCTAAAATGAAGGGTCACGCTTGCTCCCCCACTCAGAATTTCTGAGATTAGAACCCAGGAATCTCTCTTTTAAGACACTCCTTGTGTGTTCTATAAATCACAGTTTGAGACCTTCTCAAAGTGTGGGGCTAGGCGTTCATGTTTCTCTGTAGAGGATGATATTATGGGGAAAGGAGAGGGGCTGAAGCTGGGAGAAGATGAACCTACACCACAGACTGTGTCCTACAGATCCCAGGAAAGCTGCTCTTCTCCCTGGTGAAACGCTACCTATGTGTCACCTCCCTGCTGGATCAGCTGAATAATAGCCCAGAGCCAGGGGCTGGAGACCGAGGCTCCCTGTCCTCAAGGGAGTTCGGCCGGGAGAAAAGCCGGGGGCAGCGGGAGCTGGAATTCAGTATGGCTGTGGGCAACCTCATCTCCGAGCTGGTGCGGAGCATGGGCTGGGCCCGGAACCTCAGTGAACAGAGCACATTGCCACTGCGGCCTGCCCGCTCCATCTTTCAGCCCTGCGTTTCAGGCCCTAGCCTTTTGCTCCCCACCATGGTTGCCGCCCCCAGAAGGCAAGAGCGGGCCTTCCGCCAACGCTCTGAATTCTCAAGCCGCTGTGGCTATGGTGAGTATGTGCGAGAGACGCTGCAGGCCGGGATGCGAGTGCGCATGCTGGAGGACTATGAGGAGGTCAGCGCTGGGGACGAGGGCGAGTTCCGTCAGAGCAACAATGGCGTGCCCCCCGTGCAGGTGAGCGAGGGCGCATGGGGGACGCTGGTGGGGATCTAGCTGGGGGAGCATAACTGGGGCTTCTATGCAGGGGGCTCTGGCAGGCCACCCTGGGAGAAAAACCCCGTGGGGATTGCAGTGGTTAAAGGGGGTCAGCAGGTGAGAAGGGCTTGGGAAAATTTGGAGGACTGAGAAAATGGGGTGGGCTGTGAGGTCAAGCAGAGACCCACACCCAGGAAGCAGAGCTGTTGCATGGAGTCACTCCCTGCGCCCGCACTCGTGGAGTTGGCTAGGAGGGAGTGTCAGAGCAGAGTCCATCAGGGTTAGGAGCAAATGAGTGGCAGGGCCCACCCCATAGGGGAAGGTAGCCTTTTGCTCTGTGGAGGCTTTCCCAAGCCTAGCCCGCTGTGCATCTGAGGACCGTGTGCCCCGGCTCTGGGCCCAGCCTTGTCCTCTCGAGCCTGCACCACCCAGGGCTCAGAAGCCTATTCTTTGCCTCTTTCTTCCTCCCTCCATACAGGTCTTCTGGCAGTCGACGGGCCGCACCTACTGGGTGCACTGGCACATGCTGGAGATCCTGGGCCCTGAGGAGGCTGCCGAGGATTCGGCTTCAGGAGCTGTGGAGAAGGGGGCGGAGGCTCCTCTGCTGGGCACAGGTGGGCCTTGGAGGGCAATGGACAGCATATCTCTGAACAGAGGAGTAGGACTGGGACGCAGCCACTCCTGAGTAGGAGCTGCCCCAGAGATTCCGAAATGCCCTCTGTTCCCATTGGATGATGGCACCCCTGTTCCTGTATCCTTAGTGCTTCCTTCCTGGGACTGGAAACCTGTGGATGGGCTCTACTCTTTGCCATACCTCCAGCCCGAGCCCCAGAAGAATGAGCATTTGGGATACCTGACCCAGGCCGAGTGGTGGGAGCTGCTCTTCTTCATCAAGAAGCTGGACATCTGTGAGCAGCAGCCAATTTTCCAGAATCTTCGGGAGAACCTGGATGAGGTATCGTAGGCCTGAGATACTTGGGTTTGGAGTGGGTTTGGAGGTGGGATTCTCTAAGGGAGTTCTAGATAAGGGGGTGCTTAGAGGGAGGCTGGAGCTGGAGATTAGAGAGTATGAGGGGGGCCTGCTGGGGAAGGAGACAAGTGCTGTGAGGTCGGGTATGCAAGGCATGGTGGGAGGCGGCCACCCTCTCTATTCGTGTCCGCAAGACCTTCGCATCTCCTTATCCCTGAAATGCGTACCCTCTTCTTTTGACAGACCCTGGGTGACAAGGCCCTGGGTGACCTCTCCGTGCCTGTAGAGCTCGCGGAGGGTCTGCTGCAGGTGCTCAGCGCTCGGTTTGAGGGCAGCACCCTCAGCGACCTGCTCACCTCCCAAATCTACACCAAGTATGGGCTGCTGCCCGATGAACTAAGCATCTCGTCCTCTTTACGAAGTCACTCCTGTACCCCAGATCCAGAAGAGGAGTCCAAGTCAGAGGCCACCTTCTCAGAAGAAGAGACCGAATCCCCCAAAGCAAAAGCTGAGCCCCCGAAGGCAGATTCAGAACCTGCCAAGGGAAAAACTGAGCCCCCTGTGGCACAGAGTGATTCACAGCTGTTTAACCAGCTTCTGGTGATGGAGGGGATTGCTCTGCCCCCTGAGATGAAGGAGGCAGCCAGTGGTGAGTCAGGTGCTGGGAGGGGAGGGCAAAGAAGTTGGAGCAAGTCCTGGCCTCCAAGAAATAGGGTAGAGGAGAGCTGTGGACTAAGGTTGCTGTTGCATGGGAAAATGCTCTGGAAGCATGCATCCATCTTCCTTCCTTTGACCTTGAGTGTATCTAACCAGTCGCTGCTCCCTTCAGTATCCCTGGAAAAGGAGGCTCCGCTTTCCAGAATATCTTCATCTTCAGTGTTTGGCTATTAAATCTCTCACGCAGAATTGGAAAAGCTCTGAATGCAAAGCTACAGGAATGAATAATGTATTAGAATATCAGTAGGATAGCTGGGCTTGACCTTTAAAGACTTCCAACTTGGAGGAGCCTCAATTTTTTTTAAGCCACTACCTTTCCCTCACCGATTTCAGAAATGGCTAGAGGCTTGCGGGGTCCTGGTTCGCGCAGCTCCCTGGATCAGCATGTGGCAGCGGTCGTGGCCACCGTGCAGATATCCAGCTTGGACACAAACCTGCAGCTTTCAGGGCTCTATGCCCTCTCTCAGGCCGTGGAGGAGGTCACTGATCGGGACCACCCTCTGGTCCGTCCCGACAGATCCCTGAGGTTAGTTAGAATGGTGGGGAGGGAGGGGGGGTTTGGTTTAAGCTGCCATCGGGGGAGGACGTAAGGTCGGAAGGAGCTATATCAGGAATTGAAAGGCTGAGGGTGAAAGAAGGGTCAGCCTGAGGAGCAGCTGAGCAGAAGGATGCCGTATTATAACAGAATATTATAATATTCTTGGAGGACTTACTCTGTGCCAGGCTCTGTGCTTAAAGTTTTACATGCGTTCTCTCATTAAATCCTCCTCTCTGTCTTCCTTCCTGAGGAAGAGTTGATGCTACGTGCTTATGCCATTGTATGGGTGAGGAAACGGAACTGTAGAAAATTGAACTCCCGGGTTTTTTTTTAAGCCACTTTTTAATTATACAAATAATACACAAATACATTCTCATTTTAAAAGATCTGAAGAATGTAAAAGAGCACAGAAGGAAAAGGCAGAGTCCCTTTTGCCACTGTTGTCAGTCTGCTGTGGATTCTTCAGACCTTCCACAGCTTTACATTTGTCAACGTGTTTGAAAATTGAACATTTTCTGAGTTTGTGTTTAAATCTGTGTAATCACGCTACATGTTTCTACAACTTTCCCCCCACACTCAGTATGTCTGAGAGGGCTCTCCATGTCCATCCACATAGAGCTGCCTCATCACTCTCACTGCTGCATAGGACTTTGCAATAGGATTATCTCCAAGTTTAAGTACAGTGTTCTACTGGATCTGTTTTCCTCACGTCTGCCAACACTGGATATTATAATTTTTTTTTTTTTTTACTCTATCAGATTGGCAGAATTTTAAACGATTGGTATCTTTGTTTTAATTTCTTAGCGCTGGTAAGTTAAGCATATTTGCATGTATTTGTTGTGTTTCTTCTTGTATAAATAATCTGTTCTTATCCTTTGCCCATTTTCTTACTGGGTCTTTGGTTTTTTTCTTACTGATCTGTGGGCAATCTGGATATTAATCTGTTACTTGTGTTTCATATATCTTGCTGGTTTTTTTTTTTTTTCAAAATCATATTAACTCTTTCCTGAATATGAAATAATATATGCCTCCTATAAAAAAATTAGAAAACTATGAAGTTAAAAATAATCTGAAAACCCTTTGCAGAGAGAGTCACTGTTAACATTTTGGTAAACATCCTTACTTATATTTCTATATCCATTCATATATATGATTTATGTGGTATTAACTTGTTTATAATAAATTGCGGCTACAGAAAGGGATTTATATCTGAAGCACATTTGATTCATGTTGTTGTCATCATAAAGCTCATGAGAAAAGACAAAGAACTTTCCCAGGCCACCTCCTCAAGATGCATCTCTCTCACTGTGGAGAAAGATAATTCCAGTTTTTTCCTTCTTACGGTGCTCAGTGTGATCTAGGGACTCTGGAGCACTTCTTCCTTCCCTTCAAATCAGCATTTCTTTTTTTTTTTTTTTAAAGATTTTATTTATTTATTTGACAGAGAGAGAGAGATCACAAGTAGGCAGACAGGCAGGCAAAGGGAGAGGGAGAAGCAGGCTCCCTGCTGAGCACAGAGCCCAATGTGGGGCTCGATCCCAGGACCCTGGGATCATGACCTGAGCCGAAGGCAGACGCTTAACCATCTGAGCCACCCAGGTGTCCCTCAGATCAGCATTTCTGTAGGACTCTCTCTTCTTCCCTCACATTGCTTCTCTCTCAACTTTGTAGGCAGCGTCTTTCATTGTGCTAAAGTTTTAGAATTTTAGGTTAGAGTATTTTTAAACTTTAATGGCTTCTAGGTTTTGAGTAGGTCTGTCCTATTCTAGGATTATAAAAAATATTTCCCTTTATTTTCTAAATATTTTAAAATCTGTTTGCAATGTCCTTATGCTGATGGACGGAGGCAGAGTCCTAGCTATAACTGTTTCAGGTGTTTCTACCTCATGGGTTGCATGGCCCTTGCTGTTCTCACTGGCTGGGATGCCTCCCTTATCTAGTGATCCATATCTGCCCTGTGTCATTTCTTAGAGTTTTAATTTTCACGAGTTTATATTTTGATAACACGCAAGTCTACCACTCTTTCTTTCTAAACATTTCTCTTTTTTTAAAGATTTTATTTATTTATTTGAGAGAGAGAATGAGAGACAGAGAGCACGAGAGGGAAGCGGGTCAGAGGGAGAAGCAGACCCCCTGCTGAGCAGGGAGCCCGATGTGGGACTCGATTCCGGGACTCCAGGATCATGACCTAAGCCGAAGGCAGTTGCTTAACCAACTGAGCCACCCAGGCGCCCCACTTTCTAAACATTTCTTGACTGTTCTTACATATTTTCTCATCCCGTGCCTGAATCTACCTGTCCTGTGTTTAGTAAAAAACCTTTTAGGCATTGTGATTAGAATTACATTGAATTTTTAGATTTATGTGCAAAGGTGAGCCAGAGTTTGTAACCATTTCGCCCTATGGCCTCCTTCACATGGCTAGGGGCCAGAGGCAGTCAGCCTGCCGGGGAGAGGGGCTGAGGAGAAGAGCACATTGGAGAGGGGTGGGGAGGATGGGTCTTGGTGGAGAGGGTTGGGCAGGGAGTTAGGCGTGACTTTTGGGATGGGGAACTCCAATGTCTCTTCTCTCTAAGAGAGAAGCTAGTGAAGACGCTGGTGGAGCTGCTGACCAACCAGGTGGGAGAGAAGATGGTGGTGGTGCTGGCCCTGCGCCTCCTCTACCTGCTCATGACCAAGCATGAGTGGCGCCCCCTCTTTGCCAGGGAGGGCGGCATCTACGCTGTGCTGGTTTGCATGCAAGAATATAAGACTTCCGTCCTGGTGCAGCAGGCGGGGCTGGCGGTGAGTGGACTGGGCCTGGCGGGGGAGAGCGATGGGCAAGAGGGGCAGGCTGAGGGCTGCTGATCTTGAGGAGGTGCTAATCTGAGGAGGAGATTTAGACCAGGGAAGAGACCTTGGGACAGAAAGATGCACAGGGCTTGAAGGTTCCAGCTGGACAGTCTTGGAGATTGAGTGCCTGTTTGGAGAAAGGGAGAAGGATGTTTTTAAGAATGACTCCCAGGTTTAAAACCGAGCAGCAGAGGGGGTGTGGAGGCCATTTACTCAGTAGGGGAATGGGGGAGGAGGAAGAGGGAGAGGGAGAAGATCCGGAGTTGAGTTTTTAGGTTTGTTGAATTTCCCGTGTCTTTTGAGTTACAGTTAAGTGTTTGGTTAGAGACTAACTTTCTGCATGTGACAAAGTAATTTTTTACCCTTTGATCTGAGTGGTGCCCTTATGTAGAAAATACCCCCTCGCCAGCTGTGGGTGCCTTGCCGCCTACAGGATGGGGAAAGGGGGCCCCGTTCAGGGGCTTCCTGACTACTCCAGACAGTGCTGGCTGGTAGGAGGTGTGGGCAGGGTGTGCTCTGTATAGCCTGGGGTCCCTGAGGGGGGCGGGTAGGCCTCATCCAGATCAGTTCTGAGACTGGATTCCAACACTATAATGGCAACAGCATGGACAGGAACACAGGTCCCCTTAGAGCTGGCTGTTCCAGGGCCAGGCTGGGAGGCTCTTTCCTGTAAGGGGCCAGCTAGGTGCTGCTCCTAAGAGCAGCCAGGCACTCATGTCTAGGCCATGTTTGCTCAAAGAATGCCCTAACCCTTTCAGATTGCATGGCCAAAATACAACATTTGCCCCTAAATTTAAACTCTTGCCCCATAGCAGAATTGCATCGTCTTGTTTATAACTTCAGGTTTATAGAATTCAGCTAATTGGGGGGGGGGGTTAACAAAAGGGAGAAAGCCTCATTATGAGGCTTATTAGCATATGCATGGAGGGTTCAGGCCTTATAAGGGAGAGTGTCCTGAGAATTGGTTCTAATCTCCATCCCTGGCAGGTTTCTTCTCAAGTGTCAACCCTTTCCCCAGGGACGGTAGCCTCCACTCTAATGGTATGGCAGTCATCTTAATTGAATTTTCTTTCTAGTACCAGAGAACAAGTTCACGGATTCCAAGTATTTTTTCCTATAATTCCAACCGCTTTTCCTATGAGACAACCCACGTAGTCTTGTTGAGGAGAGTTGGCTACTGGCTTTGGAGGCCAAGGGACATAGTTTGGGAGTGTCAGCCTATTGGTGGTAATTGAAGCTGTGGGAGCAGATGAGGTTGCCCAGGGAGAGGGTGCAGAGTAAGAAGGGGACAGGAACTTCCATGTTGAAGGATTAAGCAGAAGAACTCGAGAGAGGCAGGCCAACCAGGAGGCTATGGAGTCTTGGAACTTGAGAGAAGGGAGGTTTTGCAAGGGGAGGGGTGGTCCAGGGAGATGGAAGACAATGTCATGGAAAGCCTATGAAGACAACTAGATGCTGTGACAGGTCTCCCCCACCCGGAGGAAGCTGCGGGAGAGGGTGGCCATGCCATTCGGCCTCGGTGCCTGCAAGTGAAGGGGCGGGCTGATTTTACTATTGAGCCTCATTTTTTCCTCTGCTTTCTTTCCTTCTCTCTCTTTTTGTTCGTAGCGGTTGATAGCCCATCACGACCTCTTCCGTCTCCTACTTGACCTATTTGCAAACAGCTCAGCTGCCCCAAAGTTTGGAGTCGAGAATGAGGACCTGGCTCTCCTCTTTCTCTGCATGGTGACGCTGCCCACAACTAACTGCTTCCACATCCCCGTTGCAGGCACTGAAGATGCTGGCCATTGCCAACTCCACGGAGATCCCCACTTTTGTTACTGGCCGAGACCCTCTCCACCCTTTGTTTGATGCCCAGATGACCAGAGAGATCTTCGCCAGCATCGACTCAGCTACCCAGCCAGGCTCTGAGAGCCTTCTCCTTACTGTCCCTGCAGCCGTGATCCTGATGCTGAACACAGAGGGGTCAGGGCATGACCCTCCAAACTCCCGCTAAGCCCCAAGCCCCACTGTCGCCCCACCCACATCTCATGGGCTTCACAGAAATTCCCTTCACAGAGGTTGTTACCTCTGGATGAAATGGTGGTGGCCCTCTCTGACTGTTGTTGGTAGAGGGGCCAAGTGATTGGGGGGAGGGAGATCCCCAGAGAGAGAAGGGGCACCCTGACCTTCCTTCCTGGGGTTGGGAGGAGTGACCTGAGGTCAGGGAGCTGGATGTCCTGGCCTCAGAGGGAGCCCTGGAGCCCTTTCCTCCCTCCCCAGCTGCAATCCCCCTCCCCTCTGCACTTGCTTTCTGCTTCCATTGCGTTCACTCCCTTTCCATTTCTTCCTGGGATACCTCCCTCCTCCCAGGTGCTCCTCCGCAGTGAGAAACGGTCTGCTCCTGCTCAACCTGCTTCTGTGCAACCACCACACTCTGGGGGACCAGATTATAACCCGAGAGCTGAGGGACACCTTGTTCAGGCACTCTGGGATAGCACCGGGGACAGAGCCCATGCCTACCACACGCACCATCCTCATGATGCTCCTCAATCGCTACTCAGAGCCACCGGGCAGTCCTGAGCACACAGGTACCGTCGTGGAAGGGGCGGTTCTTCTGAGGAACCAGGCAGTGCCAGCCTGTGGCTGGGAGGGCTAAGGCTTACGTACTAGCACCTTCCTGGAAAGACACGATGAACCTTCAGGAAATGAGTAAGGGTTTCCTTACTCATTGAAGGTACGTCTTAAGTAGAACTTCGTGACCAAAAGAAGGAGACTCTAGAATAGCTAAGGAAAATTACATATCTAGAGCCAACATGCGGGGCGCCTGGCTGGTGCAGACAGAGCGTGCGACTCTTGATCTTGGGGTTGTAAGCTCCAGCCCCACGTTGGGTGTAGAGATTACTTACAAATCAAATCTTTAAAGCCGCCATGCTAGGTAGTAGGGGGATGTAATTATAATAGCTTATAGTTATTGGCTGATGTAATAGCATAGCTACCATTTAATAATAATAAGTAATTGTAAGACTGTATGAGATTAAAAATGTCTGTGTTGAACATGACAGTGTCTGCCATACTAAACTTTTTTCCAGATGCAGCTAGCTATATATTTGGGGCCAGAGAAGAAAATCCCCCACAGTTTGATACAAACTACAGACATCCTCCAAACAGGAGGAGAATTTGGGGGTGATTTTCTGGACCTGCCCAGTTCTTGGTTTGACCAACTTGCATGACTCCTCTTCATACTCGTTTTTTTCCTCCCATGTGTCCGGGCAGCAGCACTGGAAACCCCTGGTGCCCAGGGCCAGGATGGGTCCCCTGAGCGCCTGATCCGATCCCTGGTGGGGGGCCCGTCTGCAGAGCTCCTTCTGGGCTTGGAGCGGGTGCTGTGCCGTGAGGGCAGCCCAGGGGGTGCTGTGAGGCCCCTCCTCAAGCGCCTCCAGCAGGAGACCCAGCCCTTCCTCCTGTTGTTGAGGACTCTGGATGCCCCGGGGCCCAACAAAACTCTGCTGCTGACCGCACTGAGGTGAGGGGCCTCTTGGGGCACCCATGCATCAGAGGTGAGGGGGGGCCCGCAGACCGCAGGGACTTCGCTCATTTCCATCCCCTCACCAGGATCATGACCCGGCTGCTGGATCACCCTGAGGCGATGGCCCTCCCCTGGCACGAGGTCTTGGAGCCCTGCCTCAACTGTCTCAGTGGCCCTAGCAGCGACTCTGAGGTATCAGAACCCTGGTGAGCGTGGGGGAGGGAAAGGCTGCATCTGGGGCACCAGCTACCTTGTGAGGCTCTGCAGGGCAAAATGGCCTTTCTGGGTGGGTCTGAACAATGAGAGGGGTGGAGAGAAAGGAATGTTATCTAAGAGTCCTCAGAACTGGGGCCTTTGAAGTATAAATCTTTGGGCTGCAGTTGGATTTTAGATTCTGGGTTTAGAAGCCCACACTCACCAGGCCAAACATTCCTGACTCTCCACCCTTCCGGGTTTGTGCGTTGTGGACCAAGGCTCAGGCACCAAGGTGGGCTGTTGAGAGAGCTTCGCCCTGGCAGGAAGAAGCATCGGAAGCTGTGCCCAGGCTCTGCCGGCTTGGGAGTCCCAGCACCCTACTGCTCTGTCCCAACCTTCTTTGGTACTCTCCTGCGCTTTCCAGGTTCTCCAAAAATCTCATCCCACCACATTTGCTTTTCTAAACCCACCCCTCATCCCTTCTGGGGCCCACCCTTTGTTTCCCATACATTAATCTCTGTGGCTCTGGGCTCAGATTGTTCAGGAGCTGCTCTGCTTTCTGCATCGGCTGGCCTCAATGCATAAGGACTATGCTGTCGTTCTCTGCTGCCTGGGAGCCAAAGACGCCCTCTCCAAAGTCCTGGACAAGCACTCGGCTCAGCTGCTGCTGGCCTGTGAGCTTCGGGACCTCGTGACAGAGTGTGAGAAACATGCCCAGCTCTACAGTAACCTCACCTCCAGCATCCTGGCTGGTTGCATTCAGGTGAAGAGACTTGGGGAGCCAGAGCTGAGGGAGAACAAAAGCCAGAAGCAGGGGACGGGGATTCAGTGTGGGTCCCTGTTTGGCACGAGTAGCAAATCTGGGGCACTTGTTTCCCAACCGTTCCCCCACGTGGTCCTGTTCTCCCAAAATGTGTGAAGAAAGGGTTTGAGTGTTTTGTTGCCCTTGGCTTGTTCTCCATACATGTTTCTCTATGTTCTTCATATTCTGCCTTCCTCCCCGCGCCCCTTCTCTCTGATGTTCCGGCTGCAGATGGTGCTGGGCCAGATCGAAGACCACAGACGGACCCACCAACCCATCAACATCCCCTTCTTTGACGTATTCCTCAGGCATCTCTGCCAGGGTTTGTGCCCCCATCTGCTTTCTCCTGGCTCGCACCCCAGTATTTGTTCTCCCTGTCCCTTGCCTTTCTTCTCTGTCACCTAACCAGGCCGTGACGGCCACCCCTCCCCTCTGCCCCCAGGCTCCAGTGTGGAAGTGAAGGAGGACAAGTGCTGGGAGAAGGTGGAGGTGTCCTCCAACCCACACCGGGCCAGCAAGCTGACGGACCGCAACCCCAAAACCTACTGGGAGTCCAACGGCAGCACCGGCTCCCACTACATCACCTTGCACATGCACCGTGGTGTTCTTGTCAGGTAGGAACATGCCCACGCGCGCATATGCGTGCACACACACGCGTGCGCGAATATTTCCACATACCCCAGTATACATTCTCCAAGCACCCACATACGCAACTCTGTAAACCCGATGCGTGAGGGACACACTCAAACCCATTTTGTGCAGTGAACAGATGGACACATTGATCCGCATTCCTTGTGCAGTGTAGACATCCTCGTTCCCTGAGCCTGGTGACATGCTCCTCCCACCAGGGACAGAAGTCACTGCCCTGTGCATTGTGTTGAGGGAGATTGAGAACTTCCTCATTCACTCTTCCCATGGGTGCTTGTTTAATGTATACTCTGTGCCAGGCACTGGGCCAGGGTCTGAGGCTATAAGGACAATAAGATATGGTACCCGTCTTCGGGGAACCTGTGGTCTTGTTGGGGAGCTAGCCTGGAAAATCAGTAAGAGTAAGAAGAGGTGACACGGACCCTGAGGCTGAGTGAGAGGCTAGAGAAGGCTTCCAGAAGGAGGGGTTAAATGAGCTGAGCTTTGAAATTAGCTACATAAAGAGAGGGCAGTGGCTAGAGGGACAGCATATGTGCAAAATGGGAATAAGAAACACAACGATGTGTTTGGGGGAAGTTTAAGTAACTGTGTTTGGCTGGAATGTAGGGTGTGTGTCGTGAAATGGCAGGAGACAAAGCCAGAAAACTAGGCAGAGCCAGGCCACAGAGAGTTTTGTGAACTAAGAAGTTTGAGCTTTATTCCAAAACTGGGGGAGCCACTGAAGGATTTTTAAGAAGAGAAGAGACAAAACTAGATTTTTTTATTTTTATTTAGAAAAGTCACTCTTGGAACACCTGGGTGGCTCAATTGGTTAAGCATCTGCCTTCGGCTCAGGTCATGATCCCAGGATCCTGGGATTGAGCCCCATGTTGGGCTCCCTCCTCAGTGGGGAGTCTGCTTCTCCCTCTGCCTCTCCCCCTGCTTGTGCTGTCTCTCTTTATCAAATAAATAAATAAAATCTTAAAAAAAAAAAAAAGAAAAAAGAAAAGTCACCCTGGCGATTATGGGAGTTTGGGTTGGAGGCCAGAGAGTTGGAAGGTTTATGCAGTGGTCTCATTGAGAAACGAATGTGTTCAGTTAGGCAGAGGGAATGGGAATAGTGAAGGGGTGGCGGACTGACACATCTCAAGGACCAGAATCTCCAGGATGCGCCGTTGACATGAGGGAAGCGGTGAGCAGAAGTCACAGTGACAGAGCACTCTAGGGAGATGGCAGTTTTCTTCCCAAGAGGGATGTAGAAAGAGGAGCAGACTTCTGTGGATGGATGATACTTCCATTTGGGCATGCTGACTTTGAGGTGCCTGTGGGGTGTGACATGGAAATGTCTGGTACACAGCATGAAAGCTGAGAGGAGCCGTCTAGGGTAGAGATGTGGATTTAGAGTCATTAGGGTATTAGTTTTTGATTGAAACTATGGTTTTAAATAAAGTCACTTTGGGGGAAGGTAAGAGGAAAGCAGAGGCTCAGGGGAAGACTGACACTTAAGGAGGCAGCAGAGGGACAGCAGGCTGAGGAGGAAGTGATGGCTTGAAGTCATTTTGAACAAAGACCAGGGCCCCAGTTCTAACTGATTGTTTTCTCCTCTCCCAGGCAGCTGACTTTGCTCGTGGCCAGTGAGGACTCAAGCTACATGCCGGCCAGGGTGGTGGTGTTTGGGGGCAACAGCGCCAGCTGCATCAGCACTGAGCTCAACACGGTGGGGACCCTGGTGCCCCCCCACCTTGACCTCACTCCCCTTCCTTCTGTCCCAGGACCTCCTTTAAAGGACTCAGTCCCTGGAGGATTCCCACGTTCCTTCCCCAGGCAGGCTTTGCCTCCTAAGCAGTGAGAGCAGAGTTTGGCATGCACATTTGCACGGGTCTGTGGGCTCAGTGCAGAAGTGAAGCGCGCACACCATCACAGGATGCGGTTGCTGACAGTAGTCCCTCCACCCCCACTGCCGGAGGTGACAGTCCTCTCTCCTTCTCCCCTACGCTGTCAGGTGAATGTGATGCCCTCCGCCAGCCGGGTGGTCCTCCTGGAGAACCTGAACCGCTTCTGGCCCATCATCCAGATCCGCATAAAGCGCTGCCAGCAGGTAGGGTGAGGGAAGAGGCTGAGCTGGGGATCACGGGGTGGCACAGGGTCTTCATAGTGATTGTCTCCGCCAGCATGTGGGGGCCAGGCCCAGGCCATGCATCTGCTGGGGGGATGGCCCAGGAGTCTGTTGAGTTCCAGAGATGTGGGAATGTCTCACAAGCCTCCGGGGAACTCAGGACCTGAGGCCTGGCTTTTTTTTTTTTTTTTGGTAGTGCTTGGTGGCTGGGTGGCTTAGGTGGTAGACAAGTCTGTGCGTGTTACAGGGCGGCATCGACACCCGGGTTCGAGGCGTGGAGGTCCTGGGCCCCAAGCCCACTTTCTGGCCACTGTTCCGGGAGCAGCTGTGTCGCCGGACATGTCTCTTCTATACCATTCGGGCACAAGCCTGGAGCCAGGACATAGCGGAGGACCGCAGGCGCCTCCTCCAGCTCTGTCCCCGGTGGGTGGAGCAGGCAGCGGGCCGGGTTGAAGAGAGGGAGGGGAGGTTAACACAGCAGGAGGACACTGTTCAGCAGTAGGTGGTGGGAGGGGCGCCTCGGTGGCTCAGGTGGCTGGGCATCGGACTCTTGGTTTTGGCTCAGGTCATGATCTCACAGTCCTGGGACCGAGCCCCGCGTTGGGCTCTGTGCTCAGCATGGAGTCTGCTTCAGATTCTTTCTCCCTCTCTCTCCCACTCACTGTTTCTCTCTCTCAAATAAATAAATAAAATCTTAAAAAAAAAAAAAAAAGTAGGTGGTGGGAGACTTCTGCAGGAGTCTGAAAGGTGAGGCAGCAGCTAGGACACGAGGCGAAGGGGGCACGGGGGCAAGTGTGCGCTGATGGCAGCAGGCTGGGTGCGGGACCAAGCACAGTGAGGGTGGGAGCTGACCGCACTTGAGTGGAGGCCGCAGGGCAACTTGTGTCTTTGACCCTTGACCACACATTCCTTATTCCCAGACTCACCAGGGTTCTGCGCCACGAGCAGAATTTTGCTGATCGCTTCCTCCCTGATGACGAGGCCGCCCAAGCGCTGGGCAAGACCTGCTGGGAGGCCCTGGTCAGCCCCCTGGTGCAGAACATCACCTCCCCTGGTAACCATCCCGACCCCTGGCCGCACTAACCAGCCCCTCGTAATGATTCCCAGGGATCACCTGGGTGATCACCTCTTGGTTCTCTTGGTCCGTCTTTATCCCTGAGCCTGTCGCCTCAGTGTTCTCTCCTTCCTGCCCCAGAGACTGCTCCCTGAGACTCTGGTATTTGAATCCTCTCCTCCACCCCACCCCCACCCAGACTCCAGCTGAAGTAAGCCTCGGCCCAGCTGCCCCCCAGACCTTTTTGTGTAATTGGGCCTTCTCGCTCCTCTTCCTGGGCTCTCTGTCCCCCTATTTCCCATCACCTGTTTCTGACCTGTCTTCTTTTAGATGAGGAGGGTGTGAGCTCCCTGGGATGGCTGCTGGATCAGTACTTAGAGCAAAGGGAGAGCTCTCAGAACCCACTGAGTCGAGCAGCATCCTTTGCCTCTCGAGTTCGTCGCCTTTGTCACTTGCTGGTGCATGTGGAGCCCCCGCCTGGGCCTTCTCCTGAGCCATCCACTCGGCCCAGTAAGTCCCAGCAACGGCCTGTTGAGCTGGCTTCTCCCCGTCTTGGATCTTACTCTCTCTGACTGCTTCACTCTGGGCCTTTCCAGGGGTCAGTACCCAAGACCCCTGGGTCCACTCCAGGGCTGAGACCAAGTCACTTCCCTTGCCCTTTGTCTCCACAGTCAGCAAGAACAGTAAGGGCCGGGATCGGAGCCCCGGGCCCTCAGCAGCCCTTCCAAGCAGCAGCCTGAGGAACATAACGCAGTGCTGGCTGAGCGTGGTGCAGGAGCAGGTGAGAGCAAGGAAGCTGCAGTCGGGCGGGGGGGTGGCGGGTGTGGGTGCGGGGCGGCCAACCTCCTGAATCTGCTGTTCCTTCTCCCTTCTCAGGTCAGCAGGTTCCTGGCCGCAGCCTGGAGGGCCCCCAACTTTGTGCCTCGATACTGTAAACTCTATGAGCATTTGCAGAGAGCAGGCTCAGAGCTCTTTGGGCCTCGGGCAGCCTTCACGCTGGCTCTGCGCAGTGGCTTTTCGGGCGCCTTGCTCCAGCAGTCCTTCCTCACCGCTGCCCACGTGAGTACCACTGTCACCTCCCGGTCACCTGGTCACCCAGTGCAAGCTCGCCTCTCACCTCCTCGCACCCCCCACTCTCCTGCTCCACGCCCTCTTCATGCTTGGCCGGTGCCCTTTCCATTGCCCCCAGATAAGTGAGCAGTTTGCCAGGCACATCGACCAGCAGATCCAGGGTGGCCTGGTTGGCGGAGCCCCTGGAGTGGAAATGCTGGGGCGGCTTCAGCGGCACCTGGAGCCCATCATGGTCCTTTCTGGCCTGGAGCTGGCCACTACTTTTGAGCACTTCTACCGGTGAGTGCAGGTCTGAGAGGTAGGGGAGGGGAGGCCTGGAGTCTAGAGAGGGTGAAGGGTTGAGTCTTGGTGGGGAGCGGGGGGAGGAGGCAGTGGAGAGGAGAGATTAAGATACAAAGATGGCCGAGGCACTGGTGGAAAGGGAGTAGGGAGGGAGAAGGGAGGCAGGGCCTGTGACCCAAGCCTGCCGTGACAGAGGAACCTACATTCTGGAGGGGCAGGCAGGGCGGCTGGGCCGGGCCGAGCTGCCGCCGCACTGAGGCTCAGCCCTGCTCTGCGTGTGCTGCAGGCACTACATGGCAGACCGTCTCCTGAGCTTGGGCTCGAGCTGGCTGGAGGGGGCTGTGCTGGAGCAGATCGGCCTCTGCTTCCCCAACCGCCTCCCCCAGCAGATGCTGCTCAGCCTGAGCACCTCTAAGGAGCTGCAACGCCAGTTTCACGTCTACCAGCTCCAGCAGCTCGACAAGCTGCTCTTGGAGCAGGAGAATGAGGAGGAACAGGGCCTGGAAGAAGAGGAGGTAAGAGCAAGGGAAATGAGTGGGTGAATAGGAGAGCAAAAGACTAGACCAAAGAAGGGAGCCCAAGAGCCCTTGAAATCCTTCTGTCTCTCAGGAGGAAGCAGAGGAAGAGGAGGCTGAGAAAGAACTATTTATCGAAGATTCAAGTCCAACAGTTTCCATACTGGTCCTGTCACCACGCTGCTGGCCGGTCTCCCCACTCTGCTACCTGTACCATCCCAGAAAGTGCCTTCCCACTGAATTCTGTGATGCCCTTGACCGCTTCTCCAATTTCTACAGCCAGAGTGAGGAGATAGGGACAGGCAATTGGAGATTGGGGTGAGATTTGGGGTGGCAGGAGAGGAAGAGGAGAGGACCTGTGGACAGGAATGCGTAGATAGGAAGAAAAATGGTCTCTAGGGACAGCAGTCTCCTAGGGAAGGGGGAAAAGGTGGGTTAGATCTTTCTTAATGTCTCTCATCATTGCCTTCACTTTTGTATGAATTTGTTCCATTTTTCTTTTTCTAACTTCAAGTTGCATGCTTACTTAATTTTTACCCTTTTTAGGCTTCTTTCCAAGTAAAAATGTTTAAGGCTATTCATTTTCCTCTCAACATTACTTTAGCTGCATTCAGTTTCGGGTGTTTTTGTTTTTTAGATTTGTTTTTCTTGTGGTACAGTTTTCAGTCAAGTACGCAAGTCTTAATTATGACTTAATGAATTTTATATACACATATCCTCCCATAACCACCCCCAGAGCATTTCCAGCACCCCAGACTTCTTGCTTCATGTCCCTTTCTAGTTAGTGTGTTTTTCCAAGAGAAACCATTGTTCTTCCTTTTATCACCATAGATTCTTGTCTGTATTTGAACATCATATAAACGGAATAATAGGGTATATACTCTGCTATGTTCAGTTTCTTTCAGTGGGTGTAATGTCTGCAAGGGCTATCCAGGTTGTCAGTTGTATCATTACTTTGTTATTTGTATTGTGGATTCCTTCCCATTGTATGAGTATCTTTACCCTTTCTGCTGTTGATGGACATTTGGGATGTTGCCTAAATTTTTATTATGCTGTGTGTATTTAGTATTTTTTTAGTTCTGAGAATATTCTAATTTCCATTATTATTTCTGTTTTGATCTGTTACTTTTTTATGAGTCTGTTTTAAAATTCCCAAGCCAGTTTTTCTTCATTTAGTTGTCTTTTTGTTTTAGATTTCAGACCTCATTCCATTGTGGCTAAAGAACGTGGTTTCTTTGATTCTAAATCTTTGCAATGTCTTGAGACTTCCTTTATGGCCTAGTGGATGGTCAGATTTTGTAAGTGTTCCATGTGTGATTAAGAAGAATGTGTATTCTTCAGCTGCTGTTTAAAGGCTTTTACACACATTCCACTAAATTGACTTTGTTCATTGTATTCTTCAAATTTTCTGTAACCTTACTCATTTTTGTCTGCTTGATCTATTACTGAGAGAGGTGTATTAATATCTATCATTATGATAGTGAATTTTTAAAAAGATTAGAGAGAGAGAGCGCGCAAGTACGACCTAGGGGGAGGGGCAGAGGGGCAGAGGGAGAAGCCCCGAGTTGGGGCTCGATCCCAGGACCCTGGGATCATAACCTAAGCTGAAGGCAGCCGCTTAACCGACTGAGCCACCCAGGCACCCCGATAGTGAATTTTTAAACTTTTCATCAGGTCAGCATTGCTTTATATATTTTTTGACTATGTTGTTAGATAAAAGTTTAGGGGTACCTGGTGGGTGGCTCAGTTGGTTAAGCATCCGAACTCTTGATTTTGACTTAAGTCATGATCTCAGGGTTGTGAGACTGAGCCACTCTTTGGGCTCCACGCTGGGCATGGAGTCTGCTTAAGATTCTCTCTCTCTCTGCCCCACCCCCACGAGCTCGCACTCTCTCTCTCTCTCTCAAAATTAGTTTAGATAGAGGCGCCTGGATGGCTCAGTCAGTTAGGCATCCAACTCTTGGTTTTGGCTTAAGTCATGATCTTGGGGTCATGGGATCAATCCCTGTGTTGGGCTTCATGCTCAGGGGCGAGTCTGCTTGTCCCTCTCCCTCTGCTCCTCCCCACCAACACACCACTCTCTCTCTCTCTCAAGTAAATAAATAAAATCTCTTAAAAAATAAAATAAAGTTTAGATAAAAGTTTCAAATCATTTGACAGTGTTGTCCAGTAGAACTTTCTGCAGTGATGGAAAAGTTATTTTCTGCACTCTTCAGTATGATGGTCATTTGTGGCTACTGAAATGTGACTAGTTTGAGGAATTGAGTGTTTAATTTTATTTACTTTAACCAGTTTAAATACCCACATGTGGCTACCATAATGGACTATGCAGGTTTAAAATCTTAATTAAACTTTATTATTATGAAATGACCTTCTTTCTTTCTAGTAAAGCTTTTTCTCTCAAAGTCTATTTTTATCTGGTGTTAATAATATACCAGTTTTCTTTGGCTAGGGTTTTTCCAGAATATCTTTCTATCCTTTTACCTTGTCAGGGGAGAATGATAATTCTTTTGGGTTTCTTTTATTGTGGTGAAAGATGAATATAAAATTTGCCATTTAACCATTTTTTAAGATTTTATTTTTAAGTAAACTCTACACCCAACGTGGGGCTCGACTTACAACCCTGAGTTCAAGAGTCATATGCTCCACTGACTGAGCCAGCCAGGTGCTCCTCCATTTTAACCATTTTAGGTGGACAATTCAGTTATCCTTTTACTTAAAATTTTTTTTTATTTGGAAATAATTTCAAATTTACAGAAAAATGGTAAGAATAATACAAAGAACACTCATATACTCTTTTTTTTAAAAGACTTTATTTGAGAGAGAGAGAGAGCACAAGATGGGTGAGGTGCAGAGGGAGGCAGAGGGAGAAGCAGACGCCCGGCTGAGCAGCGGAGATCATGACCTGAGCCAAAGGCAGACACTTAACTGACTGAGCCACCCAGGTGCCCCAGGAACCCTCACATACTCTTTATACAAGTTTACCTTTTGTTAACATTTTGCCCTGTTTCCTTTTATCATTTGCTCTTTGTGTATATATACATTTATAAAATGTGTATTTGTGTGTGTGCATACACACACATACACACACACACATTTTTTCCCCTTGAACCACTGAGAGTAAATTGTATGTATGCTGGCCTGTTGCCTCTAAATACTTGGATATATATTTCCTAAGAATCATGGTGCTCTCTTACATAATAATAGTTCATTTATCAGTTTCAAAAATTTAACATTGGTGTAATACTTTAAATCTATTTTTCACGTTCTGATTTTGTCAAGTGACTCCATAATGTCTGTTATTTTTTAGTCTAGGACAGCATCCAGGCTAGGATCATCTATTATATTTAGTTGTCATGTCTTTAGTCTCCTTAATGTGGAAGAATTCCTTAGCCTTTTTTTGTGTTTTACAACATTGACACCCTTGGAGAAAATAGCCATAAAATTTTCTAAACGTTTTTCATTTTTTATTTGTACATTTCCTCATAATTAGATTCAGGTGATACATTCTGGGCCAGAATCCTAAGTAAGTGACATTATGTCCTCTGTGTGTTTCATTTGGAAGTACACAATTTCCATCTGCTCCTCTTTTGTGATGTGATTTTTGACAACCTGATCAAGAGGTAGTTTGATTTCCTACTATATAGTTAATATTTTCCCTTTGCCACTATTAATAAGCAGTCTGTTGGGGAGATACTTCCAAACGGTGCCTATATTCTGCTCTCATCAGAATTTCCCCCAGTATCATTTACTTTGTCTTTGCCTTACTCTTATTTTAGGCAGGTGTCTTATAAATACCTAGAATTTGTTTCTTATTCAACCTAACGATCTCTCCTTTTGAGTTGTCAATCTTAGCCTGTTTATAATTAGTATGAGTAAATGATATATTTGGCTTTTATTGCTAAACTCTTACATTTTAGTTTACCTTTCTTATAATTTTAAATTTTAGTTATTTCATATACACAAAAGAATATATAAAACACATGTACAGTTAAAAGAAGAATAATAAATTGAACACCTTTGTAGATATGTTTCTACCTTGGATTTTTGTGCATTTTTTTCTCTTCTTTTGGATTGATCTTTTTTAATTCTTTTCTTTGTCCCTACCGGTTTGGGAAGTCACACATTCTGTTTTTGTAGTTGATTACCCTAATGTTTGTAACCTGTATGTTTGACTTGTTAATATCACTCTCCCACCTTCCTGAGCAATAAAAGGACCATAGAAAATCTTTTTTTTTTAAGATTTTATTTATTTATTTGAGAGAGAGAGAGTGGGAGAAGACGGAGAGTGAGAGGGAGAAGCAGGCTCCCCACTGAGCCGAGAGCCAGATGAGGGACTCAATCCTAGGACCCTGGGATCATGACCTGAGCCAAAGGCAGACACTTAACTGACTGAGCCACCCGGATGTCCCAGGACCATAGAAAATCTTAACTGCAGTTCTCACTCCCATCTTAATTGTTATTGTTGTTTGATACTTTAGGATTATCTTTTTTTTCCTACTTTCTAAAGAGCCATTATTATTATTGTCTTATTCAGTTGAGGTTTAGATTTGCTAACATACTAGTTGCTTCCGTCACTAATCCTTTTGCATCTTGATCCTTCTTTCTGAGTTCAGTCTCCTTAAGTATATCCTTTAGAAGTCTCTTCATTGAGGGAGTATTGGTGGAAACTTTATCAGTTTTTGAGAATGGCTTACCTTCACTCTCATTTAAAAATTTTTTATTATGATAAATTTCAGATGTACACAAAAGTCGATAGAATGTGGGGCGCCTGGGCAGCTCAGTCAATTGAGCATCTGCCTTCAGCTCAGGTCATGATCCCAGGGTCCTGGGATCGAGCCCCGCATTGGACTCCCTGCTCAGCGGGGAGTCTGCTTCTCCCTTTCCTTCTGTGTGCGCTCTCTCTCCCTCTCTAAATAAATAAATCTTAAAAAAAAAAAAAAGTAGACAGAATAAACTCCAGTGTACCAACATGGGTCAGTTCATGGCCAATCTCATTTCTTCTGTACCCCCACCCACTTTACCCAGTTCTCCAATTTAAAGGATTAAGGATTTTATTTTTAAAAGCAAGGACACTACAGTGATCAAACTTTGAGAAATTAATAACAGTTCCTAATATCAAACAGCAAAGTGTCCATATTTCCCCCATTTTCTCAAGTTTTCAAAATTAGTTTTTTGCTTATTGGGGATCCATACAAAGCCCACACCTTGCATTTGATTGAGCTCTGTCTTCCGTCTCCATTAATCTATAGGTCCTGCTTTCCATTTTTGCCCCCTTAACAGTTGTCTGTGGAGGAAACTGGATTGTTCGCCACACAGAATTGTGCACAGGCCGGATTTTGCTGACCATATCCACATGGTGTCCTCTGGCCTGTTCCTCTGTCTCTCATTTCTGGAAAACAGATACTTAGATGTGGAAGTTGATTCCAATTTGGGTGTGATTTCTGGGGCAAGAGCACTTCATAGGTGGTAGTGTGTACTTCCACCTGTCTCTGGGATGTTGTAAGATGGGTCAGTGGATTTCAGTGTTGCAAATCTGATCTGTACATTATATAATAGTTTCCTGTCAGCTGTTCACGAGGCGGTCACTCGTTACCGTTGCTTAGCTCTGTCATTTCATTAGGGCGGACAGATTGCGCCATTCTAGTTTTGTCATACCTTCTTCACATATCAGCTGGAACGTTTTCTCTATGAAGAGAAACTTCCTCTCGGCAACTTTTTGGTTACCCTGAAGTACGGTTGATACTGGAAAGGCTTGATTCTCTCCTCCTCCCCCTTATTTTTAACCAGTTTTCAAAATAATGTGTTCGTTCCTCCAGCATCCTCCAAAGAGATAACCAATGTGGTCTTTTTAAAAAAAAATATGTCATTATGAACTCATGAATTTTAAAATATTTCATGTGTTTCAATCCAGCGCAGATGTTATCTTCTTGATGTTCAAACTGTCCCATCTTTGGCCAGAGAGCACCTCTCAGATTGTCTCCTTTTGATATTCTCTGCCTTTGACAGCATCCTTGCTTTCTAGTATGAGTGAACATCCAGGCTCATCTTGCCTGAGTTGTGACACAGGAGGAGGAAGAGACGCAGCCTCTAGTGGGTCTTTAAAAACCGTCAGCTCCTTGAGGGCAAAACCCAGGTCTCTCCTCTCTGGTGTTTCTTTCGTGGAACCTGCCTGGTGTGGGGCGAGGCACAGGGTGGGCTCCCAGATACCTGTGGCTCAGCAGGGAGGCAGAAATAGAGGAGGCTGAGCTCTGGAAGCTTGACAAGTCACTTCAGTGGGGGCCCTCCTCCCCACAGAGATCAGCAGGAACAGAGCTGAACTAATAGTACACCCTGGCCTCAGCCTCTAACCCCCTCGCTTCCCCTGCTCTTTGTCTCTCCTCTTCTCTTCCCTGCTCTCCCAGGTCAGAATCATCCAGTCCTGGACATGGGACCCCATCGGCGGCTGCAGTGGACGTGGCTGGGCCGGGCTGAGCTGCAGTTTGGGGACCAGACCCTGCATGTGTCCACCGTGCAGATGTGGTTGCTGTTGCATTTCAATCAGACAGAGGTGCCTCAGCTCCTCAGCCTCTCTCTCTGTTCTCTTCCCCCTGTCCGTCACTGTTCTCCTAAACTCTGCCCCTTCTTCCATCCTTCCCCTCCTCTTATTTTCCTTTCCCCTGACTATCTACTCCTGACTGGCCCTGTTTCTCCTCACCAGGAGATGTCTGTAGAGACTCTGTTGAAGAATTCTGACCTCACCCCAGAACTACTGCTCCAGGCACTTCTGCCCCTCACCTCAGACAGTGGCCCTTTGATCCTGCATGAGGGTCAGGGCTTTCCACACAGGGGTAGGTCAGCGGGGGCTGGGCTGTGCCACTGCTCCCACAGGGTGGGGTGCTCATGGTGGGCGCGTGGTAGGGAATGAATGGGCTCCCCTTTGCCGCCACCCACCTCTCCCTTCCCCTCCTCGGGTGCTGACTGGGAGTGAGTTCCAGGTATGCTGCGGCCTCGGACGCCTGGGTCCCGGCGCTCTGGGGAGGCCCTGTGGCTGATACCTCCCCAGACGCACCTGAACGTCGAGAAGGATGAGGGCCGAACTCTGGAACAGAAGAGGAACCTCTTGAGCTGTCTTCTTGTCCGTATTCTCAAAGCCCATGGGGAAAAGGGCCTCCATATCGATCAGCTGGTTTGTCTGGTAGGCCGAGGGGACCGTGGAGGTAAGGGAGGGAGAGAGTCAGGCTCAGGGTTGGGGCTTAGGGCCAGGGAGCGTCACAAGAGAAGGTAAACATTCTCAGTACAAGACCTCGTAGGGTGACATCTGCATCTGGGTTTTCTCTTCCTGACAGGGCGCTTAGTTAGAAAGTAGAGATGAGACATGAGTGTTCACCATGTGCCAGGCCCTATTCCAAGAGTTTGCATGATTAAGTCATTTAATCTGCACAACAGTCTTAGGGGATAAGTGAGGGTGGTGGTATTACTATTATTATTATTATTATTTACTGTTACTCTCGTTTGACAGAGAAGAAAAGTGAGGCATGAGAGTTAGTAACGCACCCATAGTCACACAGCTAGTAAGTGGAAGAGCTGAGCATTGAACCCAGGCAGGCTAGCTCCTTTAGGTAAAAGTGGCCTGCCTGTTTCCTCTTCTCCCATCCAGGTGCTGGAGGCCTGGCAGAAGGGTCCAAATCCCCCCGGAAGCCTGGGCCGCACTGTTGCAGGAGGCGTGGTCTGTACCAGTACAGATGTCCTTTCTTGCATCCTCCACCTCCTGGGCCAGGGCTATGTGGAGCGGCGCGACGATCGGCCCCAGATCCTGATGTATGCCACCCCAGAGCCTACGGGGCCTTGCCGGGGTCAGGCAGAGATCCCCTTCTGTGGCAGCCAGACCACCAAGACCTCCAAGCCTAGGTAGCCATCCTCGGTCCCGTTCCCCAGCTGCAGGGGCTCCAAGCCAGTAGGGAGGGTTGGGCTCCCCAGGACAGATGGCCCTGCAGTGACACAGGAGGAGGTTTAGTGCCAAAGTTAGGCTCTTTTGTGGAAAGATGCCTCATTTTTCTCTTTGTCTTACCCTGTTTTCCCTGCCTCTGTTATTTCTCCCACTTTGCTAGTCCTCATTCCCTTGTCAGCACTGGCACCCCTTTCTCTGCCTTCCTAACTGGGGGCCTTGCTGTCCCCATCCCCTGAGAGCCAGTCCTTATACAAGGGACCCAGACACATAAGCTCCTGTGTAGATGCCTCTCGTTCTAAGCAAAAATGAAATATCATACAGATATGTACTGAGTGCTGATGATGCACTTTGTTCCGTGAAACGTACAAACTCTAGTTTTCAAGAAGCGTGTTCCACAGAGGAATTTGCCATAGGATCCCCCTAATTAGCTGGCACCCTAAAGCTTGCCCCGTCACATCCAGTTCACGAGAAGTATGTTTTGGCACCGTGTGTAAAGTGAGTTCTCTAGAGGAATCATTTGCATACACATCATGGGGTGGGGGGGGTTCTCATTAAAAGGCAGATCCTGAGTCAGGAGAGCTCCCTGTGGTACTCAGGCTGCTGGTCCTTGGCCCATACTTTGTTTTTTGTTTTTTGTTTTTTTAAAGATTTTTAAATTTTATTTATTTGAGAGAGAGAGAATGAGAGACAGAGAGCAGGAGAAGGAGGAGGGTCAGAGGGAGAAGCAGACTCCCTGCTGAGCAGGGAGCCCGATGCAGGACTCGATCCCGGGACTCCAGGATCATGACCTGAGCCGAAAGCAGTCGCTTAACCAACTGAGCCACTCAGGCGCCCCAAGCCCATACTTTGAGTAGTAAGGCTGCAGACTCCGGTTTCTCACCAGACGGACTGTTGGTGTTTGGGGTGGGGTTTACAGTGGGATTATCCCATCCACTGTGGGGATCCTGTGCACACTTAGCATCCTGATCCCTGCCCACCAGATTCCTGGAGTGCCCGAAATCACAGTGACAGCCAGCCCCAGCCCTCACTTACAGATGCTTCTTTGGAGAGCCGCGCTCTGACAGTGGGTTTGGGTGGTCATCCTGAGGCTGGTTGAGCACACATAAGCAGGGGTGCACAAATGGGGAGCTGAGGGCCGGGGTGGGGTTTGTTTAGTAGATAAGCAGGGCAGGGAGACTGATTGCTGCCTCTTCTCTCCCCTCAAGCCCAGAAGCTGTAGTTGCCCTGGCATCTCTCCAGCTGCCTGCAGGCCGCACCATGAGCCCCCAGGAGGTCGAAGGGTTGATGGAGCAGACGGTACGGCAGGTGCAGGAGACGCTGAACCTAGAGCCAGATGTGGCTCAGCACCTTTTGGCTCATTCCCACTGGGGTGCTGAACAGCTGCTGCAGAGCTACAGCGATAACCCCGAGCCCCTGTTGTTGGCGGCTGGGCTGTGCGTCCCCCAGGCCCGGGCCGCCCCTTCCCGCCCCGACCACTGCCCTGTGTGTGTCAGCCCACTGGAGCCCGACGACGACTTGCCCTCCCTCTGCTGCATGCACTACTGCTGTAAGGTGAGGCCCGCCTGCTTCTCGCCTGCCACTGGCTTTCCACCTTCAACACGGTTCCCTGGCAGTTCTGGGGTTCTGCCCCAGCACTGCCATTTCCTAGCCGGGGCAATGTTGGACAGACAGCTTAGTCACTCTCAAACTGGTTTTGTCATCTGTAAGTGGTGCCACCAGCCTCAGCAATCTGGGGAGTGGTTGCCAGGATCCAGCAATAATGTATCAGTGGCTGTAAAACTTTGCTGTATATTATAATCACTGGGAGCTTTTAAAAAATCCTCATGCTCGGGGTGCCTGGGTGCCTCAGTCGGTTGAGCATCCAACTCTTGATTTTGGCTCAGGTCATGATCTCAGGGTTGTGAGATGGAGCCCCGCATTGGGCTCCATGCTGGGCATGGAGCCTGCTTGGGATTCTCTCTCTGCCCTTTCCCCCACCCTTAAAAAAAAAAAAAAAAAAAAAAGAATCCTCATGCTCAAACTGTAACCCAGACCAATTAAATCAGAATCTCGAGGTGAAATCCAGGCATCTGGAGTTTAATTTTTTTTACGTTTTTAAATTTTTTATTTTATTTTATTTATTTATTTTTAAGATCTTATTTATTTGACAGAGAGAGACACACTGAGAGAGGGAACACAAGCAGGGGGAGTGGGAGAGGGAGAATCAGGGCTTCTCGCGGAGCAGGGAGCTCAATCCTGATGCGGGGCTCAATCCCAGGACCCTGGGATCATGACCTGAGCCAAAGGCAGCCGCTTAACGGCTGAACCACCCAGGTGCCCCTATTTTATTATTTTTTACGATTGTATTTATTTATTTATTTATTTGAGAAAGAGAGAGAAGAGGCGGGGGAGAGGGACAAACAGACTCCATGCTGAGCACAGAACCCGATGCAGGGCTCAATCCCATGACCCTGAGGTCATGACCTGAGCCAAAATCAAGAATCAGACGCTTAACCAACTGAGCCACCCAGGTGCCCCTATTTTTCTTTTTTTAAGATTTTATTTATTTATTTATTTATTTAGAGTGCAAGCAGGGGAAGGGGCAGAGGGACAGGTCGAGAGAGAATCTCAAGCAGATTCCACGCTGAGCACAGAGTTCCATGCGGGGCTGATCCCATGACCCTGAGATCATGACCTGAGTCAAAACCAAGAGTAGGACGCTTAACTGACTGAGCCACCCAGGTGCCCTAGGCATCTGGAGTTTTAAAAACTCAGGTGATTCCAGTGTTCAGACAAGTTTGAGAACAACAGATAGGTAGATAGATAATGCACACATGTAAACCATACATCAAGGCACTTTATAAATGAGAAATGTTATTAAATTGCTGATGACAATAGGTTTATGGTTTTCTTATCACCAAGTCTATCTCAGAACATCAGCACTTACCATATATTCTCACTGAATATAAAAATGAAAAGAAATGGTGTAAACCAGAGAATAGCACAGAAGTAGAGGGAATTATGGGAAGCCAGGTGTTGCCACCATGAAGCGGAGCAGAGCAGGCTGTAGATGGGGGAGTGAGCGGTCCTCAGTGACGGCGGAGAGGGGCCGAGGTGCAGGGAACCGGGGTGCTGAGTGTCGCATATTCCCTGCCTCACAGTTCTTAGAACTGGTGCCAGGCCCAAATACCTCAACCTAACAGGACAAGCACGCTTGTTGCCATGAATCTAGCCACCTCTGCCAACAGCGTCTCCGCAGGGGTGGGTGATCTGGGACATGAGCACTGACATGCATGTATACGGGTACTTTTTCTTCCTCCCTTTTTCTCGGCTTCAGCTTACTCTTCTCACACTGTTGCCTGTGCTCCCTTTTTCCAGGTTCTTAATTATTTCCTTTCCACTTTCACTTTATCATTCAACTAATATTTGTCACAAACTCACTGTGTGCACAGCACTGGATGCTGCTGTAGGAGGAGGTGGGGAAATCCAAGCAAGAAATAACCCAAGAGCTAATAATACCAGCAGCTCATACTTACGGGGGATGCGTTCTGGGCCATTCCGCTGCGATACATGCGTTACCTTGCTTAATTTCCGTGGTAGTTGTGTGAGGTAGGTATTTTTACTGTCGCCATTTTGCTGGAGACAGATGGAGGCGCCCGGAGAAGTCACCTGCCCAAGGCCAGGATTTGGACTTGGGCGGTCTTGCCCCAGGGCCCTCCCTCACACTCTCATGACAAGTGCAGGAAGGAAATACAACAGGGTCACGTCATAGGAAGTGACTGAGGTGAGGACTGGGGGAGGGGCCTGTCAGGGACTTGAGATTGGGGAGGTCAGGGAGGGCCATCCTGAGGAGGTGACGATCTAGGGGAAGAGTGTGGCAGACAGAGGGGACAGTGAGTGCGAAGAAGCTGAGCCTGGTGGCTAAAGCAGTGACGTGGTGGGACAGCTGAGGGAGAGATTTGGGAGGGACACAGGGGCCCATTTGGGTTGGGATTGACAGACGGTGGGCTTAACTTTACGGAAAGCCATGGTGGGGTTAAGCAGGGGAGTGATAGGAAGGATCTGATTTATATTTTTGAAAAGATCACTGCATGTGGAAGAAGGGCTTGGGCGGATCAAGTGTGGAAGCTGGGGCACCCATCGGGAGACTGTTGTACCAAGAGCCAGGAGGTGGTGGGAGTTTGGCCCAGGGTCAGCAGTGAAGAGAGAAGTGGACGGGTTGGGGTACAGTATCAGGAGGCAGAGCTGACAGGGCTCGGTGGAGCCAACATGGGGACTTAGGACAAGGGAATCAAAGGTGCTTCTTGGATTTCTAACCTGAGCATCTGGGTGGATGAGATGTGTCATCCACTGAGTTGAGCAAGATGGGGGCTGGGGCTCAGTGTGGAGGGCAGGTTTTCGAAGGGGAATTCAGTCTGTTCTGGCCATGTGAAGTTTGAGCTTCTTGTTGGACACCTGTCTGGGACTGGACGGGGGAATTTGGAATTAAGTGGAGAGGCCTGGCTAGTGTCCTGCAGGGCAAGAGAAGCAGGCCCAGGGTGCCGAGCTGCACAGACACCCCTGCAGAGTTGTAGAGACAGGGAGCCTGGGGAAAACAGGCTCACTGGACAAGTCCCAGCCAAGGAGGAGCCTGTGAATAAGTCACAGCTGAGCAGCACAGCGAAATGCAAGAGAAATCAGAGAAGGGGAATCCTGGGGCTTGGGGCTGTCCCAGGAGGCTTTTGCGTGTGACCTTGAGTGACAGGCAGGGTTGGCAGGGGCAGGAGGGGGATACAGGCTGGAGACTGCATTCCAGGCGGGCCAGATAGGGAGGACAGCAGAAGCTAGAACAAGCCCACGGCAGAGGGGCTCCTTAGGGAAGTGGGATGGGCTCCAAGCTGAGAAGCCAGCCTTGGCCTCTAGGCTCTAAGGGACCCCGGGTGCCTGCAAGTGTGCGGTCTGAATTTGGAGCGTTTTCCTGTCTTATCTCAAAAATGCAGGAATTCTGCATTCAACTTCCCAGTTTACCTGAGCTTGTTTCACTATAAAAAGGGTCTTGTTCTGTTTAGTACTTTGCTTTGAGTACACATAGTCTGGTAAGGCACTTTTCATTTACCCTGGAGCTTTGGTTCCACTGATACGGATTCATGCAGTCTCCCGGGGTCTAGATGCATCATCTTGGAAAGCTCTGCAGTCGGCAGTGTGAAGGAAGGGAGTCATTAATGGGGTATTTTAGGAGGCTCAGGCTGCTGATCACGCCTGAACCAAGTGGATTGCATGGAGGAGGGATCGCGGTAGGAAGACCATTTATGGGGACAAGCTCCTGCCGCAATTTAGGGGTGAGGGGATAAGGGCCTGGTTTAGGGTGGCGCAGTGACGTGGGAGCTAGAAAAGGATCGAGAGATGTGAGGCTTCCAACACTGGTGACTGGGATTGGGGGAATGCAGTGGGCAAGGCTGTTTTGTGGAGAAGAGGCTGAGTCTGGGGAGATGGGAGCACCCAGGAACCAGGTGAGCAGATGGAGCTGGGAGGAGAGGCCACAGAAGTGTTCACGGTGTCCAAGGCCAGCCACTGGGTGGGGGAAAAGGCGCCCTACTGCCCTAGGCCTCCCTCTCTGACCTTCTTGCTTTCTCCAGATCTTTCTTAACACTTGAATCATCTTTTTCTTGATTCTCTTACCCATCCTCTCCATGTCCATCCCAGCAATAATTAAAATGAGGCCACCATCCCGACACACACATTCTCGAAGGCAACTGTGATTTGGGCCAATCCCAGGAAAACCCATAGAAGCCAGAAAGGTTAGGGTCCGTTTTGAGATGGCTCCAGAGCAGGCTTGTTTCTGGCCTTCCATATTGTCGGGGATGGGTGCGAGGTGAGTTACCAGGACACCGGCGTCCTGTACTGCATCCCTGCTGTCCCTGAGCAGCCTCTCCTTCCCTTCCCCCCGCCCAGTCTTGCTGGAATGAGTATCTGACAACTCGGATTGAGCAGAACCTTGTGTTGAATTGCACCTGCCCCATTGCTGACTGCCCTGCGCAGCCCACGGGAGCCTTTATCCGGGCCATTGTCTCCTCACCAGACGTCATTTCCAAGGTAGCCCCTCTTCTGCGGGAGGCTGCCACGTGCAGCCAGAGGGACAGGCCCCAGGGAGTGGACTGGCGTGCAGAGGGTGGGTGGGGAGGGGTGGTGGTTACAGAGGTGTGGCGTCCTGGAGAGCCGTGCCCTCACCTGGTGGCGCCTATGTCCCCACAGTACGAGAAGGCCCTTCTGCGTGGCTATGTGGAGAGCTGCTCCAACCTGACCTGGTGCACCAACCCCCAGGGCTGCGACCGCATCCTGTGCCGCCAGGGCCTGGGCTGTGGGACCACCTGCTCCAAGTGTGGCTGGGCCTCCTGCTTCAACTGTAGTTTCCCTGAGGTGGGTGCCTGCCCAGCCCTGCCCCTGCCAGCACCCCTCTCCGCGCCCCCCCCCCCCACTCACACACTCACACACTCTGCCTTGTCCTCCCCTCTGCCACCGGGTCGAGCTCTGTTCCTCCCCCTGCAGTCCTCCACATGCGACCTCCCTGCCTTGCACACCCACGGCGCCACCCTTGGCCAGGGCTCAGGGCTCAGCCGTGACCTCCCCGCCCCCTCTCTAGGCGCACTACCCTGCCAGCTGTGGCCACATGTCCCAGTGGGTCGACGACGGCGGCTACTACGACGGCATGAGCGTGGAGGCCCAGAGCAAGCACCTGGCCAAGCTCATCTCCAAGCGCTGTCCCAGCTGCCAGGCTCCCATTGAGAAGAACGAGGGGTGTCTGCAGTAAGAGGGGTTACTGCGGGCATTGGTGGGGTCAGAGGGCACGGCAGAGGGTGGGAGGCCTGGTGGTGCGGAGGGCCCGTGGGGCTTCCCAGAGGGCTGAGCGAAGGAGGGCAGTCACTCACCACCCCCAGCGTGGCGCCCTCCGGTGACGCCTGCACCTTAACGCTCCTTGCCCTGCTTTAAAGTCTGCACCACATGGGGCTCGGAAGCGAGGGTGTGTTCACTAGAGGTTAGTAAGGTTAAAGAGACTGTCAGGGCCCGGAGGGGCCAGGGCAGGTTCGGTGGGACCTGCAGCCCTCTGACCAGCCAGCTTCCTCCATAGTATGACCTGTGCCAAATGCAACCACGGATTTTGCTGGCGCTGCCTCAAGTCCTGGAAGCCAAATCACAAAGACTACTACAACTGCTCTGCCATGGTAAGGGGCGGGGCCAGGGCCAGGGGGCCCAAGGGCAGCCAGGATGGGATGTGGCTGCAGGCCTGGGCAGAGAGGGTTCTGTGTCCTGAGCTATTGGGACGGAGGCTCCATGTGAAGACAGAAGCCACCTGGGCCTACAGGTGCTGGGAGTTCTGTCCTGGGAGGTGTGTGCATTCTCCAAGGCACCAAGCCAGAGCAGAGCAGAGCTTGTCCCTCGCGTCAGAGCCTGGCACCCCTGCTTAGTAGGTGGCTTTGGGCCAGTTTCCTTGCCCACGCCTCGGCATCCTCCCCTGCAGAGGGGGAGAGTAATGTGACCTACTTCACGGAGTTAGGATTAAATGAAAAGGTCTGGGTGAAGAGTCCGAAGGCCTGCATGCGGGGTGCCTTGTGTGTCCGCCCTGTCCTGCCCAGGAAGGCACCCAAGAGCCCTCCCTCTCCACCTGTCCTTACCAGGTAAGCAGAGCAGCTCGCCAGGAGAAGCGGTTTCAGGACTATAATGAGAGATGTACTTTCCATCACCAGGCCCGGGTGAGCTGGGAGGAAACGGTTGTGTGGGTGAGGAGGTCAGAAGGCTGGGGTGGACGGCAGGGCAGGGGCCCCAGATCTGAATCGGGTGGGTGGCGCTGATCCGCCTCGCCCCGCACAGGAGTTTGCCGTGAGCCTGCGGAACCGCGTGTCTGCCATCCACGAGGTGCCGCCCCCCAGATCCTTCACCTTCCTCAGTGACGCCTGCCGGGGACTGGAGCAGGCCCGCAAGGTGGTGGGGGCGGGGGCGGGGGGATGTACCAAGGGGTTCGGGCGGGCCCGGCCACTGGCCTCTAACCCCCGGGGACGGACGGAATGAGGCAGTGGGGAGCGGGGCGGTGCCGAGGCTCAGCAAGGAAAGGCCGACTCGGGCTCCCGCAGGTGCTGGCCTACGCCTGCGTGTACAGCTTCTACAATCAGGGCACAGAGTACATGGACGTGGTGGAGCAGCAGACCGAGAACCTGGAGCTGCATACCAATGCCCTGCAGATACTCCTCGGTGCGGCCTGGGTCCCCGCTCGCACACTCCTTTCCCCGGCCTGTCCACCCCCACAGCATCCCCTCCCAGCAGAGTGGGCAAAGTGGCACCCCCACTCCAGTCCTCCTCCTCCTCCTTCACAGCCTTATGCGACCAGCCTTTTAAAATTCAGGGATGAAGGGATGTGGTACTTGCTGTAGGTGCCTCAGGGCACAGGCCTTCACCTGACCTGTTCGATTACCATCTGCCCCTGTCCACTGGGATGGAGGCCCCATGGAATGTCTAGCCTAGAGCCCTGCCTGGTAGGTGTGGGTAGGACTTGGTAGATGTTCAGTAGGTGTTTGAAGGGAGGAACGGAAGGAGCAAGGGAGCCCCTGTGCCCTGCCCCCTCTGCAGAGGAGACGCTGCTGCGGTGCGGAGACCTGGCCTTGTCCCTGCGCCTCCTGCGTGCCGACTGCCTCAGCACCGGCCTGGAGCTGCTCCGGAGGATCCAGGAGAGGCTGCTGGCTATCCTGCAGCATTCTACCCAGGTATGCGGCCCAACCCGGGGCCTCCTGGGCCCAGCACAGCCCCTGCCCTGGGGGGATGCAAAAGGAAGGGTGGCTGGAGACCTGGGCGTGCACCCCAGCTCCTGGGCCGGCCTGCTGGATGTGGCTGGGCTCTGCCACGTAACCGCCTGGCAAGTGCTACAAAATAGAGTCAGCCCACATCAAGGGTATTTGCCCAGATGCTTGCTCATCAGAATCACTCGGGGAACTTTTCCATACTTCCCAAGTGGGAACGTTGGGATGGGGATCCACTGAGGTCCTTCCCAGCTCTAATACACTGATGTTGTGTCTGAACAAGGAGTCCTGCCCTCAGGGAGCTTACAGAGGAGTAAATAACTTGGGTAGATAGGACAGGAACATACACTGTTAGCTCCTGAAGCACAAGGGCGGGGTGCCTCGCCGGCACGACCCATGTCCCCCGGAGTTCCGTGACGCGCAGGCTTGGGACTGTGGAGTTCCAGGATGAGGGAGGGAAAGGAGCTGGGAGAATCTCTGTGGGGGGGCGGGGAGCGCCCCTAGGAGGCCGGCAGAGAACGGTGGGTGAAGGAATGCTGGGCAGAGGCCCAGGTACTCCTCTACTCTCCGACTTCCCACATCTCCTCGGCTCCTCGCCAGGACTTCAGGGTCGGTCTGCAGAGCCCATCGTTAGAGACCCGAGAGGCGAAAGGATCCAACGTGCCTGGCAGTCAGTGAGTAGGGTGGGCAGAGCCGCCGCAGGGGTGTGGGAGGCAGGGGTGTGGGAGATGCGTGGCTTCGCCTCAGGCTGAAAGTGGCTCCCTCCCTCCCTAGGCCCCAGGGCTCCTCTGGGCTGGAGGTGGATGAGGAGGAGGATGAGGAGGATGATGTGCCCGAGTGGCAGCAGGACGAGTTTGATGAGGAGCTGGACAACGACAGCTTTTCCTATGACGAGGAGTCCGAGAACCTGGACCGAGACACTTTCTTCTTCGGTGATGAGGAGGATGATGAGGCCTACGACTGAGGGGCAGGACACAGGGAACACGTGGAGCCACCCCAGAGTCCTGGGGGCTGAGGAGGGGAGGTCGCCCCTTCCTGCCATTGTTGGGGAAGGCGATTCCCAGTGTCTGCAGTACCTTCTGTTTACTGAATAAACTTTTTTCCACATCCCTCTCTGGAAGCAGCCTGCACAGCTGCGTCCCCAAAGGCTAGCGTCAGCTCCCCACTCCCTCTGTATACCCCCAACCCTCATTCTTCACTTTTTTTTTAGACCTGTAGACGCTTGTGTTCTCCGAGAAGGCCCAAAGCAGACCCATTTGACCTAAGCTGGACAAAGGGAAATGAAGGTCCGCATGGTCCAGGGCCAGGTGCAGGCCTGCCCATTTGTCCCAGAACCCCACCCAGCATCAGAGGAGACCGAGAAACGGCCACCCTCTGGGCCAGCCTTCCTCAAACTCTTGAACGTTCCTGGCATGAGTCTGAGGGCATTAGGAAGTACTCTGTCTTGGGGGCCTACAGAATGTTAACGGGTCTCTCTACATCTTGAAGTGAAGCAGGAAAGAAAATGATATTCCTGAGGACCTATTCTGCCCCATCACTCATATAGACGACATAGGTAGAATTTTAAACATACCTTTTAATCTGGTAGTGGGGCTAAGAGGTAGGAAGGGTACTAGAGCAGAGTCTGGGATTAGAAGAATTAACAAAGTGGGGTTAAATCAAGCAGTTGGGTCAGGGGAGGCAGCCATCTGCTAGGAAGGGTCACCCTCAAAGTATCGATCCAGCATGGCCTCCACCTGGCCCTCCTCGTAGTCCAACACCTGGAACCTCGAGCCGTCTGCTGCTCCCCGGATCATGGCTGAAAGCACTGAGAAGGGTGGAGGGAGGTGAAGGTTCCTTCCATCCACGTTCCCCCTCTCCGCTCCCTGCCCTGTCCCATTTTGGGGATAGGCACTGTCCTCAGAGCCCCCCAGGGCTGGGTCTGCAGAAGGCTGGGGCGGGAGGAGGGGCAACCCAGGGCTTGGAGCGCTCACCTCGGCCAGACTGCGGACGGAAGAGGCACAGGATCCGCTTATTGAGGGCCACGGCCCGGCCCAGCTCATATCCCACACCCAACGATGGCTGGGTCACTTCTGCCACCACCACTGGGAAGAAATAAGAGACCGTGGCTCAATATCTGGGGCTTGTTAAGGGACAGATGACAGAGTCGGGGCATGGTGAGAAGGGAACTCCCTCCCTGGTGTGGATGACAGGCGTGTCCAGGGGATCTAACATCTCAGAGGAGTTTGTGGGTAGGAGGGGGGACCACTCACCATCTGCCTCCTGCAGCCAGGCCAGGTCCCGCTCATGGATGAGCCTGTCACCCCCAGCAGCCTCTTCCCCTGTGGAGGAAGAAAAGCTGGTCAAGGCCAAGCCCCTGCCTGGTCCTCAGCACTCAGTACCTCTCCTGTGCCCTCACCACCCCTCTGTCTGTCCTGCTCAGCGAGGGGGGAAGGCATGCTAGATGACCTCCGAGGACCCACCCAACACTGAGGCTCCAGGCAAGGGATGAAACGGAATATAGCCACAAGAAAACTTCCAGGGGGGGCGTGATTAGGGCCAGATGAGGGGCACAGAGGAGACTACGGGAAGGACTGTTCCCTCACTGTGGGTCAGGGATCAGAGATGGAGAGGAGATGAACAACCAGAGTCTAGCTGAGCGGCTCGCAAGGTTTGGTGGGTGCTGCATCAGCTGAACGCTTGACAGGACACCCGGCTGCCCCAAGGGCTCTCCAGGCGATTGGGAGCCCCACCAGACTTCGAGCACCAGTGCGGGAATACAATGCACGACCAGTAGGAGGCGGTGGGAAGTAAGGTAGAGGAGAGGCTCTTCCTGGGGTCAGAGGATTAAGGCTCTCAGTTCTGGCTTGATGAAATGTTACTGCCCACATCAGAGCAGAATCCCCGGAGAGCTTGTTAAAAATACATCCGGGCGCCTGGGTGGCTCAGTCGGTTAAGCGTCTGCCTTCGGCTCAGGTCATGATCCCAGGGTCCCGGGATCGAGTCCCGCATTGGGCTCCCTGCTCTGTGGGGAGCCTGCTTCTCCCTCTCCCCCCCGCTTGTGCTCTCTGTCTCACTATCTCTGTCTCTTTCTCTCTCAAATAAATAAAATCTAAAAAAAAAAAAAAAAGAAATACATCCTAAGCCTTCACCCCAGACTGCTATGTGAGCCTGCATTTTAAACAAGTTCCCTCAGACGACATTCGAGCACACTAAAGTTCCAGTACCACTGGGTGGGGGGCGTGGACAGGACATGCCCTGAAACCAACGAACCTTAAGCTTCAGGGCCCTGCACTTGGAGAGGCCCTTTCCAGCGCCCTAGCAATTTTGCTTTGTGATTTCACCTGATGAGGGAGCAGAAGGCAAGCTGAGGACAAAGCACAAGCTGACACAGGGCAACCCCCGCCCCACTCCCCGGAGGGATCCATGTGACCTTCCTCAGGCACTCCCGGCTGCCCTAGAGCCAGGGGAAGGGAAACACAATGGGTGAACTAACAGAGATCACAGTCCTGCAGGACAGGAGCCTTCCCTGAGTTTACCAATGTCTTAGTAATTTACAAGAAAAAAGCATTCGTATCAATAACCTAACTTCCAGAGACCCATCACTCCATTTTCCGGAGCCCTAGCATCACCCTCCCCTCCACAGTTCTGTGGGACACAAAGGTAAAGGAAATGCAGGTAAAAATTAAATGTCCTTAACCTGCAGCCCATTGACAAATACTTGCAGGCAGGGTATAACATTCCTCCAGGAAGCTCCCAACAGTCTTAATGCTTTGCTAAAGGGGAAACCACCTTAGCTTGACAAGGGCAAGGCCTCCAGTATCTTCTTCAGCATATGAAAGTCCTCTTGGACACCTTCCTTTCTCCTTACCTCCCCCCATTCTCAAGTATATAATCAGCCATTCCTCAAAACCCCAAGGTAGCAGCTCTTTCTGCCCACCAGCTCCTGTCCCCGCACCTTAATAAAATCACCTTTCTGCACCAAAGACATTTCAAGAACTCCTTCTTGGCAGCAGGCTCTGGACTCCAACCTCACCAACATTCCAAAAACTACATCACACCTTTTTATCACTTTTTTTTTTTAAGATTTTATTTATTTATTTGAGAGAGAGATAGAATGAGAGACAGCACGAGAGGGAAGAGGGTCAGAGGGAGCAGCAGACCCCCCACTGAGCAGGGAGCCCGATGTGGGACTCGATCCCGGGACTCCAGGATCATGACCTGAGCCGAAGGCAGTCGCTTAACCAACTGAGCCACCCAGGCGCCCTACATCACACCTTTTTAAAGAGGTCTCCAAAACTGCATTAGGTCCCACAAATCCTGGATCCGCTCCTGGGGCTGGCGAGGGGAAAGCACTTAAAGGTTTTCTGAGCAGAAGTACACGAGTTCAAGCACAACTTTCAGACTAGAAGACGCGCGGAGATTCCAGACGAAAACTAATCAAAGCGGCGCTTTAGAAAGACCCAGCAGTCAGGAAGTAACAGCCTGATGAGAGGGCATGAGAGAGATGGTGGTGGTGAAAACTGGGGTCCTCGGGGTCCAAGAGAGGGTGGATACCTTGACCGCCAAGGGGGAAGCAGGAGGATAAGCTCTGTCTTAGGTGGGGGAGCAGATGCCTGCGGGTGAGGCGGGAACTGCAGCTGCCCCATTCATTCCCATTCTGCTCCTCCCTGCTCCGTCCCTGGAAAGAGGGGAAGAAAGTTCTCCAGGAAAGAATCAAGGTCCAGAGAACAACTGAATGCGGAGACCGGGCTCCCGCCGCAAGCTCACTGGGACCCCCGCTGTCCGAGCCCCGGCTCCCTTTCCCGGCTGGGCAGGAGGCGACGGGCTCCGGGCCGGAGGGACGCGCGGCCGGCTGTCGCACGGCCGCCGCCGGGGGCGGGGGGAGGGGGGAGTGCAATCTCGGTAGCCGGGCAGGACCCGCCCGCCTCACCGCGCCCCGCCGCCCGCCTCACCGCGCGCGCCCAGCTCGGCGGCCGCCACGTGCTCCGTGAGCACCGCCCCGAAGCGCCGCAGCCGCGACACGATCCGCCCGTACAGCGCCCGGTCCTCGCGCCCGCCGCGGACACTCCCGCAGAAGTACAGGGCCCGGCGGCCCGGCTGGCCCGGCTGGCCCGGCTCCCCGCCTTCCCGCGCTCCGGCCACCGCCGCCGCCATCCCGCCGCCGCCGCCGCCACGCCCCTCCCGCCGCCAGGGGGCGCGCGCTCGCGGTCACGTGACTCGGCCAACCCCGGGAGGCCGCGCCTGCGAGTGGGCGGGGCGAGCTGCGAGCGCGGCATTAGCCTCCGGACGCTGACGACCGCGCGGCGGGAAACCCACCGCTTCCCCGACCTCGTCGCCGCAGCTGGTCGCCCATACCCCACCCGCTCCTGCGCCCCTCGGGCCCGGGCCTTCCCCGTCTCAGCTAGACGCAGGTGCATCCTCTGGTGACGCCACCGCCTAAGCCCACCTCCTACTACTCTCACTCTGCGCAGCAGCGCTGGCTTTCCTCAAGCATGCTGGCCATGCCCTTTGCATTCGCTGTAGCCTGGAACCCTCTACTCCCAGGCAGCTCCCCGGAGCACTCCCTCACCTCTTACAAGTCTTCACAGGTCACCTTCCTTGACCATCCTATTCAACATGGCAGCCTCCTGCTCTCAGTCCTCCCTATTGCCCTCCCCTGCCTTACCTTTTAGCCTTCTCCCTAGCATGTTGATGAATTTTGTTGTTTGTCTTTTATACCCAGTAGAACGTAAGTCCCCAGGAAGGCAGGAACTTTTCTCTGTTTTGTTAACTGCTATATCCCTAGCTTCTAGAACTGTGCTGGACACATAGGAACTATTTAACAAATATTTGTTGAGTGAATGAGTGGATTCAGATGAGAAATTATATTTGCCAGCACTTTGTAATCTGCTCAGCCCTATAGTAGGCTGATAGAAGCAGGATCTTCAGGGAGGCTGGCAAACACACCGTTGTTCCCTGGTAATAACAATGATTTCCCCCTCATTATGTGATGGAAATATACAAACACAGGACCAAAAAAAAAATCAGATGGAACAAGAGAGTACTTAGTGGAAAGTGAGTCCTGAGACCCCAATCCCATTCCCTAGAGGAAAGCTCTGTCATGCTTCCTTCTGAATTCTTCCTGA